AGCTCTCCGGGGGTGATTCAAACCGTTCCGACTATGCCTTCGGCCCGTTAGGTGACGACTTCCTTAACCTCTTCAATACATTACAATCTGGAATTCCGTGGTAGATGCTCCACAGAAATTGGGGGCCAAAAGCAACGATAGCCTCTCTAAATCATTTCTCGTGAACATAGCCCTTTTTGCTCTCTGCCATGGCACATGAATGGCCCACAGGGCAATTATATGGTGGCTTAACACTAATTTAGTCGTAAAATATTCATTCTGAGTTTCTGAAATGCGAGTTCAAGTAGCAATGTTTTAGATACGCAGACCGCGATTCCGACCCATGGTTCAAGCAAGCGTGCCGCCCCCCGCTAGTGACTAGCGCGCGCTCAACTGCCTCTTTGGCCATGATCACCCCCCGAGTGGATCTCTCGACTGGCTTACTGAATGCCCAGGCCTTGGAAACGTTGAAAACCACCCATTACACCCATTTTGGTACGCGTGACTCGTGGAAAGGGGGTAGGGACAGAACGAGGTGGTATCCATCCTGAGTAGCTCTCATCATTTGCCGTTCTATCTGCACGTGCTCCGACCCTCGGAGCCTCCAAGCCTCCAAGCCGCGACGCATTGCTTTTTCTAGCCAGAGCCGAAACAATAGCGGGTCGGGGTTGCCCGCCAATGGAGGCGTTGATACCCGGTGGTATACTGCATACTGTGCGGAGGGAACTGACGCGCTTTCACTTGAATCGGGCAACTTCATTTTCTTGGTCAAGGTAAGGGGGAATCTAGCTTTCCTCCGGTAGAAGCCTTTTTCTCCTGTCGCTTTTCTCCGATCGAGGTCTTCTTCTCTGCTTGCGCGCTGGGTGACGTTGAGTCGTGGATTCACCCTTTGCCTTGCACATCTGGTCTAACCGAGCGTTCATCGCCGCCAGCATCTCCTTAACCTCCTTGATCGCTTCCTTGAGCTCTGAGACAGTGGTCCGATCGTCCGTGCGCTCTTGTCCGAGGGTTATCACATTATTTTCAATCGTCCTGAAAATACCATCAGCTTTACAGATCCCGCGGAACCATAACGTCGTGCAATGCAGAGACACTCTGCGAAAACATTTCTGCAACTTCCGAACATGTATCAGAGAGTCTCACCTCACTCGCGTGCATAGTCTGACAGAGAGTCATTAAAATAATAGTCATAAAATCAATTGCATGTGCGACGAAGTCTTACTGTTGCAATGATTCCGACATTGAGGATCGGTAGCCTGTGGATGAAATGCCAGATGCTGTCTCCCATCTCATGTCAGTTGACTTTCTTCCGGCCGAATGCTTGGATGTCCATTACCTCTTCTCCTGGTTGATCGGCTGCCAGATTCTGAGCCAACCGAGTCGGTTGAAAGCGGTTGCCCCGGGCACTCCTGCCGATGGGATGCAGTGTCGGCCGGCTCTTCGCGCTCTCCCAATAGCCTCGATAATTCGGCTCTATATCTGCCCGGTTGGTGCAAGGGGCTTGTGGTCATAATTTAAAATAGAAGTTTAGAGAGGTGTTGCGGACTCTTCCGATGTTTTCCCATTTATACGGTTATGGGGCGTGTGATTACGTTACACCAGATCCCGCAGTGGTCGGTGAACACCGGCCACCCGTTTTATGATTCTCTTCTGACCAACGTCGACCCAACGCCAGATAAGGTAACCTTTGTTTGGTATGCTTATGGTCTGTTGCAAGATACACTGCATCCTCACAGGACTAATTCGGTGGTGTCCGGCCTGGTTACTAAGTATTGTGCCGCTTAGAGTAGCGTTATAAACGGTTAACAGTGGAGTGGAAACCGAATTGCCTTATGAAAAAGGTACAAACGTAATGGCTCGCGGTTTTCGGACGAGCTATGACGTTGTCATCGGCTTGAGAGGCTGGTACTGCGCACATGGGTTTTACGAGGCGCCGTAGTTGTGGGTGATAAATAGCAGAGGCGTACCCGTTATTTCTCTCTTCATGCACTCGGATGCTACCATCTCAATGCTCCCCTCGCTGCGATGGGCCCTGCGAGTTGTATCCTGTGCCTTTACCCCCGTAGCGCTGAGCTCCTACGGGGCGTATTCTGCTCGCCACTCGCTGCGATGGGCCCCGCGAGTTGTATCCTGTGCCTTTACCCCCGTAGCGCTGAGCTCCTACGGGGCGTATTCTGCTCGCCACTCGCTGCGATGGGCCCCGCGAGTTGTATCCTGTGCCTTTACCCCCGTAGCGCTGAGCTCCTACGGGGCGTATTCTGCTCGCCACTCGCTGCGATGGGCCCCGCGAGTTGTATCCTGTGCCTTTACCCCCGTAGCGTTGAGCTCCTACGGGGCGTATTCTGCTCGCCACTCGCTGCGATGGGCCCCGCGAGTTGTATCCTGTGCCTTTACCCCCGTAGCGTTGAGCTCCTACGGGGAGTATCCTGCTCCTCCCTCTTAGCGTTGAGCTGCTACGAGGCGTATTCTGCTCGCCACTCGCTGCGATGGGCCCCGCGAGTTGTATCCTGTGCCTCTACCCCCGTAGCGCTGAGCTCCTACGGGGCGTATCCTGCTCCTTCCCTCGTAGCGTTGAGCTGCTACGAGGCGTATCTTGCTCACCACTCGCTGCGATGGGCCCCGCGAGCTGTATCCTGTGCCTTTACCCCCGTAGCGCTGAGCTCCTACGGGGCGTATCCTGCTCCTCCCCCGTAGCGCTGAGCTCCTACGAGGCGTATCCTGCTCACCACTCGCTGCGATGGGCCCCGCGAGCTGTATCCTGTGCCTTTACCCCCGTAGCGCTGAGCTCCTACGGGGCGTATCCTGCTCCTCCCCCGTAGCGCTGAGCTCCTACGAGGCGTATCCTGCTCCTCCCTCGCTGCCTTGAGCCCAGCGCGGTGTATTTTGTGCTCCCTCTGGCGATGTGCAGGTACCTCTCCGTGGTGCTAGGGACCAGTACTCAACAATTCTATCCGAATATTTGAGGAAGCCAAGACCTGCATCGAATATTGTCTTCTTTGTTTACCACAAGTCTTTTCTCCAAGCTTGTCAATTCCGCACAGCGAGGCTAGACGCTTGATGATCTGTAGTTTCCCGAATTCTCTCTGTCTCATCCATGTAGTGTAGCTACAATGCCTCAACACCTGCGCTGTACATTACCGGCGGCTGCGTCAATGTCTACTTAAGCAATTCTCAAGAGGAACCCTCGCCAGGAGCGACTTGTAGATGCCTATGGAACGTACTACCAAGCTATGTAAGAAAACTATTAAGTTTCGGATAGAGATGATTGGAAGCTCTATTTTGTGTGATTTGAGCAAGAAGTAGCCATTTCTTTTCATTGAAAGAGCAAAGCAGCCTACAACCGCCTACAACCGCCTACAACTGCGAAAAAAGCGTTGTATGATAAACGTTTAAGAGTAAAAAAAAATTGAGAAGACAATTTGAGAAGAGTGGTTAAGAAGAGTGGTTAAGAAGAGTGGTTAAGAAGAGTGGTTAAGAAGAGTGGTTAAGAAGAGTGGTTAAGAAGAGTGGTTAAGAAGAGTGGTTAAGAAGAGTGGTTAAGAAGAGTGGTTAAGAAGAGTGGTTAAGAAGAGTGGTTAAGAAGAGTGGTTAAGAAGAGTGGTTAAGAAGAGTGGTTAAGAAGAGTGGTTAAGAAGAGTGGTTAAGAAGAGTGGTTAAGAAGAGTGGTTAAGAAGAGTGGCTAAGAAGAGTGGTTAAGAAGAGTAATTGAAGAAAGCGGTTAGGGAGAGTCGTGATCTTCTATTCACTAACGTTCTCCACATAATATTCCTAGTCACTATTGTTATCCCTCCACGAGAGTTATTGAGAAAAAGAGCCCGCTTTTTTATAACCGGTTCTCGCTATTTCCATTCGAGTCTTGAATCTCCACTGATTTCACAAACATGCGAGCTTTGGAAGGCAAAGAGCGCAGACCTTGACTTGAATTAGATCGTAAATACGCCACTACCATTTGGTTAAAGCTAAACCTACGTACGCGAGTCTGCCTGCTCAAGTTCCCTACTTTTAATCGTCCCTTCAATCTCTGGTAAGCAAGAATTGATTTTGATAGAGGAACGATGACGTGGTCTAAAGTTAACATTAAGATCTAGAAATGGATGTCGAGGATTTCTGCGATCTAAGATAATAATGACTGTTGAAAAATCTGTTTATTGATCGTAATTAAGGGGGCGTCTCCAAATCCGAGTCCCAGACGTAATTGACGGTATATATTTGACGGCCGCATAAATGGACATGCTTCCGACAGCATGAAAATTTATGTACCCTCTCTAAACTGGTACAAGAAACTCAATTTCGAAATGAACCGTCGCTTTCTGGTTTCCTTTTTCCTTCGGTCTTTTCGTGGATACCAATGCCTCGCAGAGGGTTACCGCACGTCCCCTTACAACGCGAACGCTGTTTCAGCAAAGAATGCGACTGTGAGTCAAAATATTGAGGACACATGAAATACACCGTCGTTCTAATAACAAAAAACAGCTTCAATCATTCTTGCAGGGGCCTTCGAGCGAAACGATGCGATCCTTGTTCCAAGGCTATCGTCCTACCTTCAAAGTACACCCCCTGGGGTGGGAAGTAGAGTCTCTTCTGCTGTTGAGCCCTTCACAGCAGATGTGCTATTATGATGGAAAGTTGTTTGGTGGATATCTGGCTTTCCTGATGGACCGCATCCTCGCAGATTGCTGTCGACCAGCATTCACGGCCAATCTCAACACATCATTTGTACGCCCTGTTCTAGACCTCGAAAGGATCCGTTCTGATCTGTATCCGGATCCGCCCCGATCCGCCTTTGGGGCGGATCCGGATCTAATTCTTCGATCCGCGGGGCGGTTCTATAAATCTTTGATCCGCGCTGTACGGGGCGGATTGATCCGCCGGGTTAACAAATAGGACAAACATAGGAAGTCCTGTGATATGCATAATTCATGTACATTTCGGCTGTACTTTAAGTATTTAGCTTACAGGTTAGCAAAAAGAGTATTTAGATCGGGTTAAAAGTATACTAGGTCTCTCTAATTCCATTAAATCTAAGGTTTTATATACTCCCATTCACCATCATCCCACTTTGAACGCTTTGTCACTCGCCCTGATGTGCGCCTCTGAGTACCACCTTCATCCTGCAGATTTGAATTATCAGGTAGCGGGATTTGATCCTCCTCGTCCTCGTCTCCAAGCTCAATCAGAGTTGTATTATCTCTGAGAGGTCTCTTGCCAAGCGCAACCCTACTCGGGGGCTGCGATGGTTGCGTCTTAGCTGAGGGATCTTCTTCAGTATCACTGATTAGATCAAACATATCATCATCCAGTCTCTCAGTCTTCTTTTTCTCCTTCACTACTTGCATCTCCTGTGCTGTAAGATACTCCTCTATGAAAGTATGCTGCTCACTTTCGATGTCGAACCTCAATGTACATAAGTACATCATAAGATCTTGGATAGTTGTCGATTTGAGAGACCCTCGGCGATAATGACAGATATCACGAGCCGTGTTAAATAGTCGTTCAACACCGGAACCAGTCGCAGGAACAGAAAGGACATCCCGTGCAAGGCTAGCAAGGGCTGGGAACTCACATTGATTACTCTTCCAAAAAACACATGGATTAATCTTGCGAGTACCTAGTAAAGGATTAGTAAGTGATTATAAAAGATACTAAATAGTGAGTTACTCACCACTTCCAAGATATTGTGTAAGCTCATCATCTTGGTTAATCTCAGATCCCTGGACTTTCTGTCTGTCACCCATCTGATCAACTATGGAGAACTGCTCCGCAGAAGACACCCCATGTGATGTTGGTTGTGTTTCTAAGTGACGTTGCTTATATGGCTCAAGGTATTTCTCAAGACTCTCACGGTATTCTTTGCGATAAGGGCCCCTCCAGTCCTTCCCAGAGAAGAAATCAAGCTTGTTCTGGGGTGCCATAATAGTAGCGATTGCATAGAGATCACCATAGGCCTGATCGGTCTCAGCATAATAGTGTCTTAGTTTCTGTGTTGCATACTCGAGAGCAGTTTGCATTGTCATCTGCCACCTTGCTTTCTTTCGTCTAAGCTGGGTTGTAGACTTCTCGAGATGGTCAAATAGTTGATTGTAGATACTAAAGACTATGTGGATAGTGACATCCTTAGTCTTTGAGAGAACACTAGTGAAGTTGAAGAAGGGCTGTGTGATAGAAAGAAGATAGTCAATCTGCTTCCATTCGTTGTGAGTAAGCACAAGGTCAGAGAGACCACACTCAGTGCAATACTTGTCGCAGATAGTCTGTAGTTTTTTGGCACGCTGAAGCATCAAAAATGTGGAATTCCAGCGGGTTTTGACGTCCTGCATCAGAACAAGCCTTGGTTCTTTGGGCTGGAGCTCGAGGAATTGCTCTCTGCGCTGAGGGCTTCTATTAACCCAGACTGCTAGTCGCCGAACCTAGGTTGATATTAGTACTTAACAAGATAAAATGAGGGGCTTTCTTACCTTATTAAGAGTAAGCACGATATCTTTATTCTCCCTCTGGGCTTCACTCCGGGCCTCAGTTTCCGTCCATTCTATTTCCTCTCGGTCATTCTTTGGGATTGCTTCCATCTTGCCAAGAAGCTCGTTTAAACTGAGTTGGATAACATGGGCCATACAGGGTATTCGAACAATAGGGGTGCCATCTGGTAACGCGAGTGTATCAAGAGCTTCATTGATACTGTCGTGGAGCGTAGTGTTATTTGATGCGTTATCAGTGGTCATTGTCAAAACCCGATCTTCGATCTGATGTTTTCTAAGAAGATCCAAGAGAACAACACTAAGGTCGGAACCTTTATGGCTGCCATGAAGTGGCTCAAATCCAAGCAAGATCTCACGGTAGTGCCAGTCTATATCAATAAAATACCCAGTAATAGCCATAAAGGCCTGGCGGAAGGGCGAGGTCCAGCAGTCTAATGCAATAGAAAGCTTTGCACCTGATGGAAGCATCTGTAGAAGGCTCTTTTGGCGTTCTATCACTTTCGCCTGAACCTTCTGCCGTACTAGATATGCAGATAAAATCCGAGGCGGAGATGGAGCGAGACTAGCCAGTTGAACTAGTTTATGAAACCGAGGATGTTCAACAAACTGAAATGGGAGTCGTAACTCAGTGATTAGAGAAATCACACTCTCATCGAATTCCTTGAGTGTAAAGCTCTCCGGTTGACGGCTATGGGATCCCTAAGATAAATTAATTTTATTGGGGAATCAAAGGAGTAATATACACATCTAACATACCCCTGATTGAAGAAGCTTTCGAATATCCTGTGAGGGTTTCGATCTCCGGCAGTTGACACCCTCTCTGACATGTTTATTCAGGGAGGACGTTCCGCGATTTCCGACCGCTGGGTGGATAATAACCTGGCCGCATACTTTACACATGACCTTAGGAGACCCATCTTGGATAGTAGCAACCTGATGGAAGTGGTTCCAACAGTCCGCTTGGCGTCGTTTCTCAAAAACATTCCTTTTCATCTGACTTCCAAACTCCGTCATCAACCACCACCCACAAAATTCATCATTCATCTCCTCAGTCCAGAGTATAAAGGGCTTCTGCTTTGCGGTAGGCCCAACACGTTCTAGGGTCTGTGGAATAGGGGGTGATATTAATGGTCGAGCGAATCCGCCGTCGGGTGTAGGGTTAGGTGTCTGCTGAAATAGGGAGTCAGGGGTAAAAGACGTTGTACCGTCGGAAGGAAGATATGAAAGGTTATCTAGAGAATTATCCTCAAAGATAGATGAAGGGTAGGTGTCTGAGAATTGAGAGGCTTGACTTTGCGACATAGTGAATAAGTAAGCCTTACTACCAGCTTTCAAAAGAAGTGAGACTTACAGGGAGTAAAGAAGAGAGAAAGTAGGAAAATTAAAAGGACGCGACTAGGAGCGCAAGCTGAACGGAGTTGTAGATACATCTATCATAATCTGGACTAGGGGGACCTATCTCTACTATATGATTGGCTTTAAGCCCCAAAAGGACCCACAGAAGAACGGATCTCAACGGATTGATCCTGATCCGCCCCTAGGGAAATCCTGACTGATCCGCCCCGCCCCGCCCCCTGAATCCTTTTAGCAGGCTTGAATTTGCCTAAGTCTACCATCCAAAGTATGCTCTGTAGGCTTTATAGATGGGGTTTTCGGCAGGAACCACTTTTTGAGAACAAAGAAAGAAAGAAAAACCTTAATTCATGAACTGATTAATTAAAAAGACTTAACTATTCCAGAAGGCTGCCTTTCGAAATGGTTCAAAGAGAAGTTATGAAAGATAGTGGTGTGGTACTCAGGAGAGAATATATATTTCCCACTCTATTACGACACCTCAGCCTTACCTTAATAAATTACTAACAACCAAGTTCTGAAATGATATTAAGACTAGTATTATTTACATTCGATAAGGTAACATAATTTATACAGAGGTTCAAAACACAAAATTTCAATCAAAAACTTGCTGCATCTTAAGAATAGTGAATGCACTGACCAAAACAGGTGTATATAACAGTATTTTATTTCGATGAATCATCAATTTATCCAGCCAAAAAAGGGGGTCTTGGCAAATTTTATGTAAATTAGGATCTAAACGGATTGATCCTAATCCGCCCTGCCTAGAACCGCGGTGCGGATCCGGATCGAGTTCTTCGATCCGGAAATCCGGCGGATCAGGATCAGGATCCAAAAGTTGGATCCGGATCCGCCCCATTTCGAGGTCTATTCAAGTGCCTCTTGACTCTCGCTCTCCATCGGCTTTTCCATACGGGTCAACTGTTGTCCCTCCAAAGTGAACTTCTCTGAGCACATATACATCATCAAGTCTTGAATAGTCGTTTCATGAAGAGATCCTCGACGATAATGGCAGATGTCTCGCGCACTATTGAAAAGCCTTTCTACGCCAGCGCCGGTGGCCGGAACCGAAAGCAAGTCGCGTGCAAGTCGAGAAAGTACTGGGAATTCACGCTCATGTTCTCTCCAATAGATTCGTGGTGGAACGGGAACATTTGCTATCAGAAGTCAGTTGGTCATCCGAGTGTATCATGTCAGTTGCCCTTGCCTTCTCTGAGATACTGATCCACCTCGTCATGCTCTGCACCTTCGTGGAGCATGGATTCATCAACTGGTTCAAGGAGACAATCAAGCTCCGAGCTTTGCAGCGCGGATGAGCGATACACCGTTCGGAATAACATCTCGGGGTTTTGTTGTTGATACTGCGTGAAACATGTTCTCAGGTATTCACAGTACCTTTTTGAAGTATCTTCATGGCAAGTAGAATACTCCCTATCATCAAACACAGAAAGTTTATATTGAGGAGCAAGTAAAGTCCCCGTGCCATAGAGAAAACCGTGGTCACGATAGGTCTTCTCATAGTACTCTTTCAGCTTTTGCCTCGCAACAAGCAGCGCGCCATACATGTCCTTCTTCCAAGGTGTTGTTTTTCTCTTCAATTTTCGATTCGACCGTTCAATATGCTCCAGAAGCTTCCTATACACGAGGAACACGCTATGAATAGTCACGTCTTTTGTCTTCATCAGAGCCATAGTGAACTGAAAGAACGGTTTGGTCAGATGGACTAAGTAGTCAATCTGCCGCCATTCAACGTCAGTAACTTTGAACTGGGAGTATTCATGATCGCGGCAGTATTTATCAATGATATTTCTTAGTCGACGCGCCCGGCGAAGCATCAAAAATGTGGAATTCCAGCGTGTTTGAACATCATGCAATGGAAACAGCCGGGTAGCACCTGATTGAAGACATAAAAATGCATCTCGCCTCTGGGGGCTTGCATTGACGAAAATCGCAAATGATCGAATCTACCTTGATGAGTACTCCATCTATATTGACAGTCGTTCGTGGAGGTTCAGGGCTCACCTTTGCCAGGGTATGAGCCACGTCTCTATGATTTGCGGAGTCTCTCAAACCGATGGCTTGAGTGTCGGACCAAAAGGTCCTCACTTCTTTATTCTTGGGTGCTGCTCTAATATGCCCCAGAAGCTGTTTCAGGCAAAGCTGAATCACATGGGCCATACAAGGAACCCGGACAATAGATTCCCTGGAGCCAATCGCGCCAGTGGAGATCAGTTTGTCTTGCAAAGCTCGGATCAACGTCTCATTGTTCGTCGCGTTATCCGTAGTGACGCTGAAGATGCGATCCAAGAGTCCGCGTTCCTTCAGTAACTGATGGAGAACATCACTGAGGTTGGTCCCTGTGTGAGGACCGTGCAATGGCTCAAAGCCAAGGAGCATTTCCCGGTAATTCCGATCTTTGTCAATGAAATAGACCGTGATTGCCATGAATGCTTGCTGGAATGGACTGGTCCAACAATCCAAGGCAAGTGACACCTTGGCATCTTCAGGAAGATCTTGCAACTGCGACTCCTGTTGAGCCGTGACCGCATTCCGAAGCCGTCTTCGCAGGGTTTTTGCTGAGGGAAGTTCCAGTGCCCCAGATCCAGAGTATAAGAGGTTGAGCAGTCTTTGGAACACGGGGTTTTCCACCGCTTGAAAGGGCAACCGGAGACAGGTGATGGTCTTCAACAGTTGCTCCTCAAGCTGGAATGTTGTTACCCTGTGCACACCGATTGACTCCTCGAGGGAATGGTTTTGCAACGAATCTGAGATAAGAGTTTGATGAGATCCTCTCTTCTTTCCTTTGCGACAAGAATTGGACTTTTGGTGTCTGCTCATGGCGCTCGTCCCGTTCTTTTTGTACTGTGGGTGATCAAGCAAAGTAAGACAGGCTTGGCAGAAGACTCGTGGGCGCCCAGAATCGATATCGGCTACTTGGTCAAAGCGTTTCCAAACGTCGGCGTGGCGCGACTCGGTGGACTATTTGATTTGGGACTGACCGTCCCCGTTCAGCTTCTGGCCGTACTCGGTTTTCTCCCACCATCCTAGAAACTCTCTCTCCAGGTCTGACTCGTACAAAATCCAGTTCTTTCTGCGATGAGGTCCAACGCGTCTCAGTGTCACCGGCGGTCTTCGAATGGTTATGTCGTAGCTCTTGCGGGATCCAGTGAAAGGCTGCAGGTCATCTTAGCATATCTGCGGGAGTCTCGCGACGGCCAAGCACACCAAGGGAGAATTCGGTCTCATATAGAAGACTGAATGTCTGAGTCTAAGAACACGTCAGACGATGGCTCAATGGAAAGCAGGGGACTGAGAGTCTGCTGTATTGATCGCGATGAAGAGGAAGAAGAAGGCGCCATTTTGATGGTTCGTGTCATCAGAGTTGAAGTTTTGAACGAATTCACTTTGAGTGATTGAGCGTGAATTTTGTCCGAGTCGCGTTGTGCGTTTGGATCTATCTATTTCAGAGTCGCGTCAACCCGCGGGTACCCAAAACCCAACCCAACCCAAAACCCCGCGCGACGTTGGGAGGACGGTGAGAACATCACAAACGTCTGATTTATTTCGCCAAGTGTGGAAATATTGTCTACATGCAGTGTAGTAAGCTTGGTATTCATCAAATCCTTATGGTTCACGGACACGGCTATAAGTCCAATGTGACGCAGAAGGAGCGTTGTGATGGAGATAGAAATAATGCACCGGATACTCGCCATACGTGGCCCTCACCGCTCGAAAGCGGTGAGGGCCACGTATGGCGAGTATGTGGATATGCAATTGCAGTGGTTGCGAGCGTTCCGAAGGTCTAAAGTTCAAGCGTTGTGAAAGTCGCGAGTGAGGACAGCGCAAGCGAGAGGAAGAGCACAGGAAAGAGCCGGTCCTCCCAATTCGGCGGGTCGCGGTTGAGCTGAACTCGAAATTGTCTTCGTTCATTTCTCCCACAACCCTCTAATCACTCTCTTGCGAGACGCGCAATGGTATTCCCAGGCTCTCCTGATCTGGGGATAGAAGGCAAGAAGGGGAGCTGAAAGTTTACCGGGAGCGAAAGAAGCGTCCTTGCCCATTGTGATGTGGAGGTGCAATTAAAGGTGGACTAAAGAGTATAAGACAGCTGTGTAGAAGTCAGGTCAGGAAGATGAAATGACAAGCACGATTTTCCCGCGTTTTAGTACTCGCGCTCCGTCGTCCATTCGTTCCTGAGCCGAGTTCCTAAGCCATTGCCCCAATTTGTTCCCCGTACCGTCGGCATGACAGCCACTAACTCTACCCGGCAATTCCTATTCAGCCCATGATCGCATCCGGCATGATATCTGCGCTCACATAAGCATGGCTGGGACAACTTCTTTCTCCACATCATCATGTCTTGTAACCCGGCGAATCATCTTGGAAGGTAACGTAAAAGTGGTCGGCGATTGATTTGGCAATCGGCGAACATGATCCCTGGAAAGTGTTTGGTCCTGAGTTGGTGAGAAGCCCAGTGACGCACTAGTTCTCTTGAATGACGTTTGATTGACGTAGCTGTGCATTTACATAAAAGAGGCTGCCGGGACAGGACAGGTGAAGAACCATCCCAAAATCAAATCAATTTCCCAATAGCGAAAAATGTTGAAACAAATTTCCTTCCGAACTACTCCTCTTCGTACATATTTTTACCGCTATCAAATGCTAGCGTGCCGGCCCAGTTCAAAACTTGCAGAAGCTAAATTGGATAAAGCCCCAAAAAAGGACCCAGAACTATATGTAAGAGCAAATATACTCTCCATGCCAGAGTTCTCTCGCTCTTTTGCTAACCTCATTGTAGGTCCTCTTTGCTTGCATGATTTGTGGTTTTGCCTTTGTTGGTTGGAATCATGCGAGCCTTCCGACAAAATCAGTTGATGATGAGAAGGTTCACGCTGCAAAAATGCCCTGGGAAGCGGAAGGAGATCAGGTAAGTAACAGTCAAGAGTGCACAATATCACCTCATTTACACAAGGAAGTAGGAAACTCCTTCACATTAAAAGCCAAATGCACTCGGTCCATCGGGATGCCGTTGGATGTGACCTCACCAACCACCTGCACCGTGCTTCAAAAGAAATACTATAGAACACCGCGGTTCGACCGTAATTGTACATTGAGGTAGGAATTTTGTAAGTTAAAATAACTCTGGAAATGAAACTATCAACCTCATATCAATTTCCCAAAACCAGCGAAATAGATATAACCGCATACTTTAACAAATTACGAAAACAATTGGAAACAAATAAAGTAGGCACAATCTCTTACTGGTTAGGTATTGCGAATTTAGGTCCTGCCCAGGTGCCTTTGACCAAAGTCTTGTAGTAAATCCAGGGGAAAAATCTTTCTTCGAATGGTTCAATGCACGAGGAGGGTTTACTTAGTCAACCTCCAGAAGTCTGCCAAAAGTCTCCTTTGGTTACACACCATATTTGAACCGAGCAAGTAGGACTTTTCCATATTCTGTAAGTAGAGGGCATGAGGTATAACCGTCGTATGTCGCTCGAGGCTATTTGCCGTCCCGTCCATTGAGAGTAAGATATTGCCAACGAGAATTGGCGCTTCCGAGGTAATCACTGCTGCTTTGGATGTTGGGAGACTGGATGCGTCTTCAGCAGACCAGACGTTAGGAAATCCCCTGTGGCGCATACTGCCCTCATCAACACCCACGAAGGCCGCGTTGTTCGCAAGAGGGCTTTGCTTTATGAACGAGTGAGGTCCCATTTTTGGTAAGACATGTAGGAGATCGAAGTTTGTCTTTTTTTTTTTTTTTGATTTTTGTTTTCTTTCCCTCTGCACGTGAGAGAATTCCTTCGCTCCCTCGAATAGCAATAAGGTCATATTGAAACAGCCCTTCGACCCACTTTTGTTTCCGCAATTCGTCGAGCTTTGCGCTGTATTTTGGCAACTCAAACATTGTTGGGAGCCCGTGGCAAAGCCTCCTCACATGAATCGCAAATAAACAACTAACTCTTGGCAAAAGTGTTTTCTTGAAATATCTAGCCAATCAGAGGTCCCACGGCCTCGGGAACTAGTTCATCGTAGTCATAACTTCACGCGCTACCGTCTGATAACCTTTCATAGAGGAGATGGCAGCGATAGTTGCGACAGGTGCGAATGCAAAGAAAATGCCCCATAACAGGAGAGGAACACCAAAAACCACAGCATCAGGTGGCACACCTCGATCGATGGAAGACATCGCAGAGGGAGCACGCCGCGTGCTTAACTACATCGAGAACAATGGCTCGGAGGATAGATATATCACAGGGTATATCCGCGCGGTTCCCTAGTTTGCACTCAACGCCTAGCGGGGAGACGGCCAGGGGATGGCTAAGGTGCTCGAAGCGCTGACCAAGATCAACCCCGACACTGAACGTCTGAACCAGCAAATTGATACCATTGAGAAGACAACGAGCATCTTATCAACAAACGCGTCCACCTCCGCGGCGAATTCCGCAGCGGCGTGACGCGACTTCTGAGCCCGAGACTGGCAGCGCGGCTTGACTAAGGCTGTGGCACCGAATACCAGCAGCAACGGCACGTTGTCTCCAGGGGTACCGGAAATGGAGCTGCGTGAGGACGGGAGGTCATCGTGAAGGTTGGGCCAAATCGTGAACAGATTCGCGGACTCTCGCCACGGGAGCTGGTCGAACGGGCGGAACGTCAACAGGCGACCATTGCTCGACAGAAGGATTCTGCCCCCTTGGCTGGAGGGGCTACTTTCGTGGCAGCTCGCAAACTGCCATCAGACGATGTGGTGATGGTGGCCAACAGTGCCGCCGGAGCCGAGCTCCTTCGCAAGCATCCTGAGTGGCTGAGGGCATTTGGACCTAGCTCAGTGATTCAAGCGCCGTCGTGGGGAATCGTGGCGTACCACATCCCCGTGAAGTCGATGAAGCTTACCCCGGAAATGATGGCCGCCGTCTCAGCTGAACTGCTTCGACAGAACGACTGGGGCGAAGGTGCCAAGATCCAGTATCTTGGCTGGCTGACGCGACCGGGTATCCGGGCGGAGGGCTCGGTCCTGATCGAGTTCACCAGTCCAGTCGTGGCCAACCGTGCTATCATCACTGGGATCGTATGGGGGAAGCAAATCCACAATGCATCGCGCTTCTGCCGCGAAGGACGGATGAATCTGGGCAGAAAGTGCCAAAAACCGAGGCATATCCAGTCGCACTGTCCTAACGTCTTCAAATGTCCACTGTGCCGGCGCGCACCCGACCTGGTAGTGTCCGTCGGCACGGGGGCAGGCGATACCAGACAAATGCGCCAATTGTGGCAGTGGGCACCGCCCAATCAGTCTCGACTGCCCAGTGAAGATCGCGGCAATGGATGAGGCAAAGCGGACACTGGCCAACTAACCTACCTATCACCACGTCCCACTACACTTCAGAAATAGAGCAAGTGGCACCACACCGGCACCCCAGATGGGATTAGACCCAGTCGAAAGAGCTGACCTGAACGTATCTATACATGCCCCGGAAGAACGGCAGGAGACGACATTCTCTCAGCGCCCTGAGCAAGTCACAATTGACCTGGAAACAGAACCAACTGGGACGGGAACGTCACCTGGGGAGCTTGTTGAGTCAACCAAGCCCCGGAGGGGCCCTGGCCGCCCAAAGGGCTCGAGGACCAAAGCCAAGGACCAATCACAGCCGCCTCCGCAGCCTACTAACTCTACAATATCTGTTGTGATATGAGGCTGGTGCAGATCAGGAACCAAGCCGAACCATCGGAATTAATGAATTAATCCCGAGGTATCTATACGAAGAACCAAGTTGATTGGAAATCAACTTGTTCTCCTTGTTGTATATATATAGCTTGATGTTTCCCCCTGAATAAAAACAATCATACCTCTGAACTACAACAATATCGACAACCCAGCGATCGACAAGATCCCAGGCGGCCTCTCAGAGGGCCACGCAGGAGTATACCATTTCAAAGAAGCGCCGAGTGGGCGAGCCGGAAGACACTATGGACGAGGAGCCGGAGAGCAGCAACTAGTTTGACATCCAATTCTTTCAGAATGATTCTCCTCCGGACAAAAACAACCAGTTGGCTAGCTTTGAGGAGGAACTCACCCAATTCGCTAACGACGTCACGATAATCAACGATACCAATACTACCCCAGAGCCCCGTCTCGAGGACTTGGATCCAAAGAGCCCAGAGTACCAGAAACTCGTTACCATGAAATATGCCCGAATACAAGCTGTGCCGGTCAGGTCCTCTCCACCCGCCATCACAACCGACGCACCTACAGTTGAAGATCCAACTGACGACATATGGTACGAGATTAGCGAGCGCAGTGATGAAGAGTTCATAAACCAAGGAAATTGTTCCAAATAATTCAGTATAATGCAGACAAGTCGTGGGCTGTGATGGCCACGTTTCTGAGGGACAGAAAGGTCCTAGCGGCGGACATCGTCGCAGTGCAGGAGCCGTGGAGAAACGAACAACAACACACGACCCACCAACCAGCGACTGCAACATTCCAGCTCCTATATCCAGCAAAGGAAACCCCAACAGACCTGAGCCAGAGATATGAATGCGCATCACCCAATATGGGGAGCAATAGGAACCAGGGCCGACAAGGAAGCCGAGCAACTATTGGAAATCACGGATAAATTGGATCTCGAGCTGATCACCGAGAAAAGAAGGGCGACATGGTCTCGAAACAACCAGTCGTCGGTGATCGACCTGACCTTCATCAGTTCGAGTCTCGCCTGTAGGCTTGTGGGCTGCCGGCGGGCAGATGACATCGAACATTCATCCGACCATTTCCCGATCAGAACAGTGCTTGGCATTGAAACACCGGTACTTGCACAGCAAAAGAGGAGAAACTGGAATGCAACTGATGAAAAGAAACTCACTCAGAAGATCGAAGAAGACCTACAAGTCAGGGACCTGTCCCAAGCCGGCCCACCTCAGATCGAGGCCCAGTGCCAGAAACTGAAAGACGTCGTTCAATCAGCAATTGAAGCTTCAACTCCGTGGGCAAACCCGTCAGCATGGTCGAATCCCGATTTTGACGAGGAGTGCAAAGCGGCCGTCAAGGAGGTCCGTCGTCTACGACGTAGGCATACGAGAACAAAAAATCCCTACGACTGGATTTGTTACTCTGGAGCACGCAACGCAAAAACTCGTCTGGTCAAGAAGACACTATCTCGAGCGCACCGTCGGCGAGTCCAGCAGGTCATTGAGGATGGCCCTCAGGGTATGTGGCGTCTCGCCAAATGGGCAAAGAACCGCACTGGAGCGTACGAGAGGGGCCACACGCCCTCTTTGGAGATCCAAGATCCTCAAACACCAGGAAAGCTTGCAGAAACAGTCGATCAGAAGGCAGAAGCCTTCCGGGTGGCCTTCTGTCCACAGCCACCACCTGCAGACCTCTCCGACACTGATTTGTTTCAGTAACCGGCCCCTCGTAAATTTTTTTCAAAAATTACGGAACCCTCGCAAGCAAGGGTCCGACACCCAAACGCAAAATGCCCCCCAAACGTAAAATTTCACCACAAATTCCGTTTTTCAACTTGAAATTTGCCCTGTACCACCAATATGCCTGCCAATAATAAGCAGACTGAGGCGTCGATTGAACAGGCAATTGAGAAGCTACAGCAGCAAGAAAATCCAAATCTCTCCGCAATTGCGCGAGAATTCGACGTGCCATACTCGCGGCTTCGCGCTCGATGGAAAGGACGAAAATCACTATTTTCACGCCCATCCCATGGTCAGCGATTCGATTCTGCCCAAGAGAAAGCTCTTTGCAGTTGGATTGATTACAATGACGGGCTCGGCCTCTCCCTTAAGCGTGCTCAAATCCTAAGAGCTGCAACTTCCATACTAAAGCTTTCCGACGCTTCCGCACCGCCTCTTGGCGAGAAATGGCTTAAGCGTTGGCTTAAACGACATCCTCAATATCGTATCCGCCGACGAAAGAGCCTGGATATCGAGCGAAAGCGAGCACATGATGTGAATTTAATTCGAGAATGGTTTACACGGCTCCGCGCTGCCATCGACTCCCATGGTATTCAACCTTCAGATATCTACAACTTCGATGAGACAGGCTTCCAACTTGGCGTTGGAAGAGATCAATGGATTATTACACGTGAGCCTCGTCGGAAAATTGTGGCGGGAGTCTACACAAATCGTGAATATGTTACGGTTGTTGAGGCAATATCAACTGATGGATTTATCATTCCGCCATTAATCATTCTCTCCGCGCAACAAATTCAATATCGCTGGTTTCATGATCTAAATCAGGATGAACGGATTGCAGTCACAGATACAGGTTATACAAATGATCAGCTCACATATCAATGGATTCAGCACTTTGAAAAGGCAACTCGTGCGCGGATGAGAGGTAACTGGAGGATGCTAATTTGTGATGGATTTGGCTCCCATTTAACCTTCGAAATGGTTAAATTCTGCGAAGAAAATGGTATCCTCCTCTTCTTTCTTCCTCCACATACTAGTCACTTGCTTCAACCGCTTGATGTTGGTGTGGTCAACGTCTATAAGCATCATCACAGTGAAGCAATTGAGCGTGCAACCCTAACAGGCTGTTCCAAGTTTACAAAGCAAGACTTCTTGGCTGCAATCAATTCAATTCGGGCGAAAACCTTCAAATTCAGCACAATTCAACTTGGATTTCGATTATCGGGCATTTGGCCTATCAATCCCGAGATTGTGTGTGAGAAACTAGTGGAATACGATCATGCAACACTTCCATCAGCACCCTCCACCCCTTCCTCTCATTCCACCAATTCAACGTCTTTTAGTACCCCGAAAACAATTGAAAAGATTAGAATTGTTGAGAGGAGGTTTTCCAGAATCTCAAATGATATTGAAGCTTCTCAGAACTTGATGCGAAAGCTATCCAAAGGCGCTCAAGCTTGCCTGTATGAGCTAGAGGAACTCCGACGGGAGAAGGAGATGACGCAGGCTGCAACCGCTGCACGCCATGCACGCTATGGTATGTCACGGGCTGGCATTCGATCGAGGGGGATTATATCATCGTCAAACGTGAAAAGAATGAAGAAAAATGAGGAAAATTTGACGGAGTTGGAGGCAATTGATAAACTCCGACCGAAGTGGAAGAAGGTTATGATGGAATTAAAACGCCACTGTCGACGCCAAGGTCTCCGAGTTTAGTCACAAAAATCAGCATCTTTATTCATGATATATTGTTATTTCAATTAGGTCAAAAGGATCTCTAAAATTACAGCTTATTGGTGTGATTGGGGAAATAGAAAATGTGTCATGGCGAAATTTTACGTTTGGTGGGCATTTTGCGTTTGGGTGTCGGACCCTCGCTTGCGAGGGTTCCGTAATTTTTGAAAAAAATTTACGAGGGGCCGGTTACCCGCAACCGATCAAGTTTCCACCAATTATGACGCTAGAAATACAAGAAGCAGTGAGAAAGCACCAGGAGAGGATGGTATCCCAAACTCTCTCTGGCACAAGCTCATCGAAGTACCGATCATACTTTGAGTGCTCGGCCAATTGTTTAACGCGTGCGTACGCGCTGGTTTCAGCCCAACACACTTTCAACGCTCGGTTACGGTCGTCCTCAGAAAGCAGAGAAAAAGCGATTACCAACTCGCAAAGTCCTACCGACCTGTTGCATTGCTCAATACCCTCGGCAAGTTCCTGGAGGCAGTGATCGCACGGAGAATCAGCTACGCTGCGGAAACCGCGGGACTGCTCCCAATGACGCACCTTGGTGCTCGACGGGGCATTTCCACCGGCCACGCCATTCACAACATAATTGACCGAATAAAAACAGCCTGGGGAAAGGGTCAGCCGGTGGTGTCACTCCTGATGCTGGATGTATCAGGAGCATACGACAATGTCTCCCACGATCGCTTAGTCCATAACCTCAGAAAACGACGCCTGGAGAGCTCGTCCCCTGGGTGAAGGCCTTCCTGTCTAATCGAAGCACAAGGATCCGTATGCCCGAAGGCGTCTCCGATCGGATATCAACACCGACGGAAATCCCTCAAGGGTCACCGATCTCGCCAATCCTCTATCTCATCTACAACGCAGACCTCATTGAGAACTGCGGAAACGGCGTGACCAGCAACGGCTGGGTAGATGATGTCTGCTTTATGGCCACGGGAGACAGCGAGCGTGAAACCCTCAAGAAACTCAGAGCGGCATGTCGAAAGGCCGATCAATGGGCCAGAACGCATGCCTCCGTCGTTGACCCCAAAAAAGTACGCACTCGTACACTTCGTGAACACGCGAGAGATCAACCCGCAAATCACACCGCTATCTCTACAGGGGCATACAGTATCAGCGACGAGGACCGCCGGGCGCTATCTGGGCTACTGGCTAGACCCCCGGACTGGAATTCCACCATCACCGCGAAAAGGCGGTTACGAAAGCAGCCGTGTCTCTCCAGGCTTTACGAAGCTTGGCTGGTTCAACATGGGGGGCCTCTATTTCTGCTATGCGCAGGATCTACCAAGCGGTAGTCATCCCGCAGATGCTCTTTGGAGCATCCGCATGGTATCAGCCTATGCTAATAGGCAAGACGAAGGCTCGCGCGATTAGCCAGCCATTCGTAGGCATCCGGAAGCAGGCAGCGTGCCTGATCAGTGGAGCATTCAGAACGACAGCAGCGGAGGCATTGAATACAGAACTGCACCTACCACCAATCGCAATCTACATGAATCGGCTCGTGAAAGAATCGGCCCTACGGCTACGAACAGGACCAGCATTCGCTATTCCACCAACGATACTGCGACGTCGACTAGGGGACGAGAGAGATAGGGATGGATGGACACCTATGTAGGCGCAAGCTTGGAAAACGGGCGGATGCCTCACGGTTCCTCCGAACACTTTGGCGAGGCAATGGGAGAGCCGGAAGGCATTCGTCCAGGCACCGTGGCAAGCGCCGCCAGAGGTGATCATCGAAGACAGAGGTCGCCGTGGAACATCATAATCAGATCCTGACGAAAGACTCAAGAAAAAGACCCCTGATTCTCTACACTGACGGGAGCGGAATTGAAGGTAGGGTCGGAGCAGCAGCGATCGTTGATCTGGAGGAACAACATGCTCACAGCCAGATGGGTGATGATGATACGTCTACCGTGTACGCGGCGGAGCTCCATGCAATCGAGATGGCGCTCGCGCTGGTTCTTGAAAGCAAGGAGCCATGGGCCGAGCAGGCGGTAAGCGGGCTAGTCATCTTCGCAGACAGCCAAGCGGCGCTGAAAGCACTCCGCCGACCGCGGATGCCATCGGGGCAAGTCTATCTGGCAGGATGCCTAGACCTAATCCGCCAACTTGAGGCAAAAGACATTCAAATCGAGCTCAGGTGGATCCCTGCTCACCAGGGAGTGATCGGTAACCAGATTGTGGATAGCACGCAAAAGAAGCCACCCGGGTACCGGAAGGACCACAGAACCCTAACAACAGGCATATCCGCCTCGCAGCCGCAGTCAAGCGCCGGGTTCGCTATGAGGCGAAAATTGAGTGGGAGAGGGCGTGGGCGAAGGAAACGACCAGCCGATCGACGAGACGCTTGATCGAGGCACTGACAAAGAAGACACTGGAATACTGGTCAGGCCTGCGCAAAGCAACGGCATCGGTGTTGATGCAGCTACGGACCGGTAGAGTCGGGCTGAGCGCTTACCTGCACCGAATCAACTGACGCGAGTCATCGCGGTGTGACTGCGATCTCGGCAACCAGACCGTGATTCACGTCCTGCTCGAGTGCCCGTTGCACCAGGATGAGCGCGACAGCATGAGGAGCGCTCTCTCCGATCAGGGAATCGCTCTCCGTCGACACGAACTCCTGACACGACCGGAGGCCCGCACAATTGTGGCCGAATATATGGTCAAGACCGGTCTTCTTGGCCAGTTTCAGGCACTTGATCCGACGGCTTTAGGCGTGGAGGCAGGGGGTGAGAAAGAATGAACCCTGAAGACAGTGTGACGGAAGACAAAGGATGGCGCCCGTTAGGAGTGGAGTGCCAGGTCCACTGTACTCCCTTGATCCAAGCGAGCGCGCGAGCGGCAGCCGACAGATCGGACGGTTGGAGTGAAGAGGGCGTGGGAATGATGTGGGTGTACCCGGCGAGGCGGGACCCCTGGTCGCGAGAGGGAGGTAAACGACGTTCATTTTGGCTTCCCTTTGTGTTTATCATGTTTGCATCCGTGCATTTCCTTTGATTATTTTGCATCTTTTACGTTCAAGACAATCGATCAGGCACTCGCCTCACGAGCTTCATGAAACAGTTGCCCAATGGGCTGGCGACCACTTTTTAGCTGTCGGCAGGCCTGACAGCACTCCCGCATAGCAGCATATATTTAGAGCGAGCTACATTGGGCAAATGAGTTCATCATCATCATCGTTCTGGGTCTTTTTTGCCGTTTTATCCAACGTAGCTTCTGCAAGTTTTGGGCTAGGCCGGCATGCAAGAACTTGATAATGGTAAAATATTGTTTAGTCATGTTTTGCTCTTGGAGGAATTGGTTTGATTTTGGGATGGTTCTTCACGAGTTCTGTTCTGGCAGCCGTTTTTATACAAATGCATAGCTACGCCAATCAAAGGTCCTTCAATAAATCGTGCGTCACTGATATTCTTACACTGGGGGCTCATAGTCCATTATACTTTTAAGTTTTAGGAGAGTCATAACTTACGTTTGCTGTCTGGAGTGAAGTAAAACACGTTCCGCGGATTGTGTTCGCTGATTGCCAAACCGATCGCCGACCGGCCTTATACTCCTACATAGATCACAGGGTTAGAAGCATGATGATGTGGAGAGAGAAACTGTCCCAGCCATGCCTATTAGGAGGCGATGATGGGCTAAATTGGAATTAGCACGGCATGTTTAGTGGCTGTCATGACTACCGCTGGTAGGGGAACATGTTGGGCCAATGGCATAGGAACCAAGAACAAAAATATTCGAACGGTCCACGAGGGCGCAAGTACAAAAACAAGGGAAGACTGTGCTTGTCACTTCCTCTTTTTGATTTGACTTCTGCACAGCTGTCTTATTTTCTAAAATTCACCTTCATTCTCACCTCCGCATGGGCAAGGTCTCTTCTTTCGCTCTCGGTAAGGTATCAGCTCCCCTTCTTGCCTTCTCATTCCGGCGGTCGAATTCCGGAGTGCCTGGAAATAGCATTGCGAGATAATGGTTAGAAGGCATGGGAGAAATGAACGAAAATCCAAGTTCAGCTCAACCGACTCGGGCCCATCGGTCTCCTAAGCTGCTCGCAAGCATCCTACGACGGTTACACATCGTGTCCACTACCCACCAAATATGGCAAGTTTTTAGAAGTTTTGTCTAGAGATGTAGTTAATGAAAACAAAAAGGAAAGCAAGCAACTAAGTCTCTGCCGCAACTGTATGCCTTGCCTAGTTGATCAGGATCCCATTCACTGCCAAACACGGGCTCTAATCGGTGACAGGTCTTAGTCCTTGTGAAAGTCTTATGTAAAAGTAAATAAGTAGTTTATGAAATTGCATTTCATAAAAAGCCCTCTCGATCATCTACTCTTCATGGAAGAATCTGCTTACAGCACGGAGGGATTCATTCGGTGACGATCATGCCTTGATCAACAGCTCTCTTTGCCCACTCACTCCAACTTCCGTCGTAAAGTCGAGGTTTCACCTGTAGGCCGCTTGTGCGCAATGCCAAATCAAGCGCCGCGGCAGTGACACCAGAATTGCAAGATAGGAAGGTCGGGATGTTTTCCCTCACACCAGCTTTTGTGAACACTGCTTGGAGATCTGCCGGTGGCAGTATAGTCTTGTCTAGGCCCAAAATCGAAGAGAAAGGAACATTGATGGCGGACGGCATATGGCCCGATGGCAGAGAAGCACTCGGGCCGTCGTTCCTGCCAGAGAATCGGTCGCTGGGTCTCGCATCGATGATCTGGTATTCCCCCTTGAGATCATGAATGTTGATTATATCATGCAGTTCTTCGAAAGTAATCACGCCGGAGCCTAGTGACTGTTGTTCTGGATAATCTACTCGGGGGCCGAAGCTCGGAGGTATCGACAGCTTTCCGACCGAGACAGAAAAACCCTCTTGTACGTAGCGCGAGAAGTTATTCAATACATGGGCAGCCTTGTGCCCGAAATGGTGGCACATCCATGCAACCCGTGGGGACGAATGAAGTCCCGTTTCGAAAGTGTCATAGACGACAAGGATATCATCGGATCGTATCTCAAGCTCCGTCATGTATTTGGCGAACTGACTCGATGTGGGCAGCATCATCGGATATTGGGATGTGGTGTCTCTGATTAAGTCCATGTTGAAAAATCTTGTTATTCAATAAGATCTGTTTCATGAAGTACCGAAATGGACGGAATATCATACACAGAGCCTGGCACATGTCGGGATTCGTAAGACGGCAGCGACAGCGTATTTCCGGCCGCTACAGGGATTATGCGGACGTTTCTCGGCGGATTGGACAAGGCGCGATGAAGATCTGATGGCGAGACAAAAAGAGATGGGAATGGACTGGGAAGCTTCATGTTGTTTGTGGCATATTTTCTTGGTGATCAATACCGGAGCCTAATATATTAATCGACGGGTATCTTTTCCAGCCTACGGGGATATATACACTATTCCATACCCGCCGTTCTTCATTCGTCGTCTGGCTGGAATGGCGAAACGGCGACTCGGCGTCTCTTGGGACGTGCCGGCTGGCCCAAGCATACCACTCTTTATACATTGTAGCCACATTGTTGGTTTTCTGAATCGACCACATGCACACAAAACAATACAACATGCGAACGGCCGGCCACAACAAATAATGGAGGGGAAAGATCTGAAACCCCAATTCGATCTAAAACATTTCCGCGCCTTTGCCAGGAATTTTTCGTCCCAGATCCTCAAGCCGTTTGCAGAACCATCTAGTCCCCGAAATATGCCCCACATAGTCGCCGAGTGTTCAAAAGGGTCTCCAAATACCGTCGCCGATCACAAGAGACGTGTCACAAGGCCTCTCCATTCCGATCGTCATAGAAGTTTGCCCTTAGTAGAAAGCAGCACAGCCCAATATGTAGCTGTTACTGGACGCCCTAATAGATGTGGTGTGGGATTTAATAGGTTAAAGAGAGTCAAGAGGTTTTATCATTGGCATTTATTTCCCATGGCGTCTCTTTCCCCCCAGGCTAGAAATTTGCTACCAAAACGAAACCAAGCTCGTCGATATTTGCTCAAATCCTGGAGAAACCAAATCCTGCCGCCTAGTACGTCACAATTCCCTTCGGCGGTGCAAAGCGGCATTTTGCAAAGGAAAGGGTGCCTCTGTTATATTTCCACCCGTCATCCGGTCAGTCCACTGGTAGACAAATTTGAAAACGGGCGTGCGTCTATGATGACACCAACCATTTACGGCATGTTCGAAACCAAGACTGGCACCTGGCAGTATGTCATTGCCGACACAGCTACCACGACGGCTGCTATCGTTGATCCAGTTCTGGATTATGATCCCGTCAATCAAATCTTGACCGACCGAGCCGCCAACTCTTTGGTCATCTTTATTAAAGAAACTGGCTTGAGAGTCGATAAGATCCTTGAAACCCATATCCCCGAAGATCATATATCGGCGGCGCCCTATCTTCAACGTTGGCTTTCCTGCGATCAGGGGTATATACCGCCCGTCTGCCTGGGATGCCGTGTGAAAGAACATCAAGGTGCAGTCAACCACAATGAGAAAGTAGTACATCGAGAGGAATACCAAGGCTCCTGCCTGAAACTTCTGAGAGACGAAGAAACATTCAATATTGGTGAACTCGTAGTCACGGCTGTTCATCTTCCAGGACATAGTCCTCATCACCTCGGCTACAAGATTGGTGGTATGCTCTCAAGAAACTTACGGTAAAGACCGTGATAGCTAATACTCTGCGATAGACAACGTCCTTTGTGGAGACACCATCCTTCACCCCGATATTGGTACCGCACGTTGTGATCTCCCTGGCGGTAATGCGCACGAACTATTCGAATCATGTCAGCGACTCTTAAGTTTGCCAGACCATGTACGAATCTGGCCCGGTCATGATAGCCTTCCTGGAGGGCGCGAGCCCATAGCTTGGATGGCAGTCCGGGATCATAAAGAGCGGAACAAACACTTGAGATCTGGTATAGGTAAAGAAGAGTTTGTAGCTCTACGGGGTCAGGAAGATGCTGGCTTAGCAAAGTCGAAGAATTTGCATCAACAGCTACAGATAAGCCTGCGCGCGGGAAGATCTTCAAAGTCGCTAATCAGCGGTCTTCAGAAACCCATCCTCTCACTCAATCTGGAAAGTCCACATAATTGATCAGGCCAAGCTACGCGTATTAATGAGTTCAAATTGATGTCAAGAATCAGTATCTGCTTTACTGCTGCTCGGGCTGCTTTTATACCCTAGTGTCACAAGACGCTGTTAGGACTTTGGTGTTCCGGCCAAGTAGTCTACGAAACGCACTCGTAACGTCACTACAACGCTTTCAAGATAGGAGGGATAGAATTGTGACAGAATGATTGGGCTGGGACAACTGCCCGGTGACGTATACAAGCCGGACAAGAACTTATAAAAAGAATGACAGGAATTCGCCGCGGGATCCTGAATGATGTGCTACTGTTGTACATGAAAATTATAACCCTGAGCCATTCAGCCCCATAATGATCAGAATGTTGCTAATTTCTGAAAGACTATAAATTCGTTGATGTACATACAAAGAGGGCAAATAACATCTTATCCAAAAAAAAGAAATTATGGTCGAAAAAGGGAACAAACAGTTTAGCAGAGAGCCTGGGGAGCGCAGAAAGGCACTTGGAGGAAGGTACGTTGACTCCCATCAGGGCTTGATGGCAGGCGTCCTCCTCGGATGTTGACCTGTAAAGCTTGGTGCAGCAGTTTTGGCTCTTTTAGGTTGGAGTCGCGGTCTCGTCGCCAGTTCACAAACTCGTGCTCCTGAGTCCCCTTTTTGACATGCTTGTTGCTCTCCAGCTGCTCTGCCACGGTCACGAAGGGCATTGGTTCGCGGCCGGAATCTGCCGGAGGGTAGTCGTGGTCGGTGTAACACTTGTAGTGAGACGGCAAAGCTAGTAGTGTTTGCATGGTATGATACAGGACATTTGCATCTCCGTTCGGGAAGTCGCATCGTGCACTACCCACGTCAGGGTTGAAGATCGAATCGCCCGTGAATACGTTGCTACCGATCAAGTATCCACTGTGATCGGGAGTGTGACCAGGTAAGTGAAGCACCTCCGCAGTGACGTCGCCGATATTGAAGACTTCATTGTCATCAAATAGACAGTCGAAAGCGTTTTCACTCGGTCTTTGGTACGCCGTACTTGTTGGCAAACGTTTCCTGCACCTGCCTAATCCGACGGCCAGTACAGATAGGGATTTGTGGTTTATCTGATACGAACAACTTTTGTTGAATGTAATAAGCAGCTGTCAGATGATCGGCGTGGGCGTGCGTCTCTAGGAGACGGGTAATCGTGTACTTGTTCGACGCGACAACCGTCAAAAGTTCGTCCGCTGACGTGGTAGTGATTTCTCGCTCTGTGAGGTCCAAATTGAGGACCGGATCGATGATGACGGCCTGGCGGGTCTTCGGGCAAGCAACGATGTACTGCCAAGTCCCGGTTTGCTTTCCAAAAATAGGATGCACAATAGGCTCGATAGTTGCTGACATGGCTGCTGACCGAAATATTTGAGTAAAATCGATCGCAAGTTGCCTAAATCAAATTCCGGAAAATGTTTAAGTATGTCCAGCTCTGAATCCCGAAATTCTTCGGATGTAACTTGGATCATGTAAAGCTTACACAATGGCCTCATCTCATTCCCCGAACAGTAATGTTACCATACCTATTGCAACGGGGCTGACGAATGAAAGAGTTCTGCCAAGAGGATTCGCGGCGTAAATGGAAGTCTCGGCCGAGTGCATCAAAGCGTCATATCAATTTATTAGAACATTGGAAATGGTCGCCGAGACCTTTGATGCAAGTGGTATGTGCCAACGGGGATCAGAGTGGAGCTCAAGCCTTAAAGATAGGCCAATGATACACTCGTTTTGACTAGACTGAAGGGAAGGGACCCACTTGAAAGATCACTAGATCGCCGTCTACCAGAATTTGGTCGGCCTTCGCCCCTCTCCCATGGCTTCCAGGTCACTTATTTTTGCACTTAGTGGCCCATGTCTTTTTCCTTTCCCGGAATGAATATCGGTCTTCTCAGCACGACCGCAAACCTTTCCCTGCTTGGAGTGCCTTTCCTACAGACTGCGTCGCTTATCATGAAACCTTCACGCGAAATGGAAAGTGAGGGTCACGTCAATGGCAGTGCGGCTTCCGACGATGGGGAAGGGAATGATGGGGAAGGCATTAACCATAGAAACGCTGTTTATGCAGCACAGTTTCGAGGAAGTCAGCGCTTTGAAGAGCAAACCAAGAGCAAGTCGAAATATGACAGTGGTTGGCGCTACATTGTGCGGAATTTCACGCCAGCGTAAGTACCAATGGAGAAACACGACTTTCTTGGTCACGCTAAGCCTAGTTTCCAAGCTGGTTTTCTGTGAAAATGGGAATAGGAATCACCTCAATCCTTTTGAATACGTTGCCCTACAACGGAAGATGGCTTTACTGGATATCCGTTGTGATCTTCTGTCTGAATGTACTCCTTTTCGGCATCTTCCTCACCATCACGATTTTGCGCTACCTACTCTATCCGAGCATTCTCAAGGTCATGGTCACCCATCCCGCCCAGTCGATGCTTCTAGGAACGTTTCCCATGGGGTTCGCTACAATCATCAACATGGTCTGTTTTGTTTGTGTCCCGGCATGGGGTGATTGGGCGGCTTACTTTGCCTGGGGCATGTGGATTGCGGATGCCATAGTATCTGTTTTGACTTGTTTTGGAGTGCCTTTCATATTGTCAGTGGAGTTCTCGATGATGGGAGACAACAATAACTAACATCTCACACAGCATGACCAGGTCGAGCAAAATAGAGTTACAGGAGATGGGTGCCGCTTGGTTGCTTCCCATCGTGTCTTGTGTCGTCGCAGCAGCGTCAGGGGGTATCGTTGCAGACGTGTTGCCGAACCCACAGTACCACAGTACGCTTTAGGGACCATTATAACGAGTTTTATTATGTGGGGTGTTGGGGTGCTGCTTGCTTTGACGGTAATCGTCATCTACTTCCTGCGCCTGATGTTGTATAAACTGCCCCCAGAAGGGCTGATCGTCAGCACGTTCTTGCCCTTGGGTCCCCTGGGCCAGGGTGGTTTTGGGTAAGTCCACAAATCACGATATTTCACCAGATACTGATTTGCTTGGTTTTAGGATTCAAAAGTTGGGAGTTGCAGCTCAAAAGATATTCCCAATTACGAACACGCTACAAATGGGCGCCGGTGACGTGTTCTATGATGTCGGTTTTCTAATAGGTCTTATCTTATGGTCATACGGATGCCTTTGGCTATTCTTCGCCACATGTGCCATTATCCGCTTAGGGAAATTCCCATTTAACCTCGGCTGGTGGGCCTTCATTTTCCCCCTGGGTGTGTTTACTATGTGCACCACCCAGATGGGTCGAGAAATGCCCTCTAAGTTCTTTCGCGTGCTAGGTACAGTGAGTAACTCAGAAAGAAAACGTCGGTTGCATATTTTGACATCTGCTAGATACTGTCGGTTTGCGTTTTGATTCTTTGGATCGTGGTTTCCATTTTTACACTCAAGGGGGTTTTCAATCGAAGTCTATTCGTGGCACCCTGTCTGGAAAATCTTCGTCAGCGGGAGCAGGAAAAACTAAGGAAGAGGAAAGACCATGTGTAGTTCGTCTGTCAATTTTCTTCGGTATAGTTAGTTAAAAGGCATATCAAATTATGTACACACACACCCCTACATAATAGATCCTGGATTCGAATGTTTTACCTGGCCTTCAGCAGAAAATTTGGCTTCGCAAAGATTGCTAGCACGCTTTCTCTCAATATACATGGATCCAGGCTTATCACTTTTCGAGCACTAGAAATACGTCACAAGGAGAATCGCAATGCGAAGAAGAGCCGACGCTTGCGAGATGACTATCATGTGATATCTCGCTGACCGCCCGGCGCCCGCCTTTCGTCGCGCCAGTGGCATATGCACCTCCTAGCGGCTCCAAACTCCTACTACAACCGTCATTCTTCCTGAGTTCATAACGCCGGCTTCAGAATAGTAACTGGTTTTTTTGGCCGAGTGAGGGAAAACTCATCAGACTAGAGACATCCCTGGCTACCGAACTCAAGAAATGCCCACGTCATCATCAGCGCATCCGAAAGCGCGTCTCTCGTCGCTTGCCTGCATGGAATGCCGGAAACACCATATCAAATGCGACGCTCAGAAACCCTCTTGCTCTCGATGTGTAGCTGCTAAGATCAATTGCGTTTTTCTGCCTTCTCGTCGGGGTGCCAGACGCAGGCTCAAGAACACTACACGCTCGGTTACCGACGCATGGAATGATACTATCCCCTCGACTCCAAGTTATCCTGAAGATGGAATCTTATTCACGGGAGAGAATGCCGTGCCCCAGTACCCTGACCCACACCACTTAAATGGTCTTTTCCATCATGGAAGTTTGCCGGCGCCGATTGTTCCTGAAGGTCGTCTCATCCGCCTTTATTATGAGAACCTCCACTCGGCTCACCCAATTCTCGTCCCTGCTTCTCTTTTCGAGAGGTGGGAGTATCCTTCGTTTTTGTGTCAGGTTGTCAATTTCATCGGGAGCCAATACTCGGTGGTGCTCAGCAATGACATCTTCCACGAATCCACTCGGTCGATGTTGAACGAAACCGCTGAGAGGACGCCTCATATGGTCCAAGCTCTACTTTTATGTTCTATCATCATGCGGGCTCGGAACGATATATCCCAAGCCAAGTCTTCTCTTTCTCGGGCGATTGACATTGCGCTAGAGCTCGGAATGCACCAAGAGAACTTTGCCACAAAATTCTCTGGTGGCAGAGAATACGAGGCAGAGAGCCTGCGACGAACATGGTGGGAACTCTTCGGTTGGGAAGTCTACATGGCCGCTTTGCATGCAAAGAGCAACTTGCGATGTACGGATGCTTTTTCCATTGTTGGGTTGCCATGTGAAGAGTCAATCTACGCATCTCTTCGCTCTATTCCCGAACCAACATCTCTAGCCTCTTTCAGGGCAAGAATATTTGCAGAAGACGAGGACATTGCCCCTTTCTCTTCCTTTGCCTACCGCATTGAAGCAGTGCGTATCCTGGCCAGGGTTTTAGTCCTCAACAGCTTACCCGAGACTCAACATGATCACTTGCAAGCCGTCGCAAACACTCTTGTCAGTTAGATTCACCATCTTCCGCAAGAAAAAATCGACATAGTGGAAAAGTATGGAAACATTGACGAAATGCTATTCCAAGCTCATTTTACTATTCAATACGCTGCCATGCTTTTACATTTACCTCGTGGTAATATCCGACCGAAATTTCCCGAGTCGATGACCCCGATATGTCCAGTGACACCTTTTCGTCTCTCGCCGTCTCTGACACGCCATGTACACGATGTTAAGACCATCGAAGCTTCCAAAAAGCTGTCTGACCTCTTGTCCGTGCGGTCCGACGCGAGAGGATATAGCCCTCTTGTCGTGTTCGGTTCAATACTGTGTGGCCTCATTCAACTTGAGGCGATTGAGATACATGGACCTGACTGCTTCAATCATCATCAAAACCGTGTTGTGCTCGTTCTTGGATGTCTTCGACTTCTCAGAACCAAGTGGTCTCTAGCACGAGAAGCTCACTCTCATCTACGAAGGACAGCCGCCCGGATAGCCACTACTTTTGCGGGATATTCACTCTCCGAAAACACACGGCCAGGACTAGGGAACCAACAACTTGACATGGATGTTGATGGAACCGCCGTCCCCGTTCCCATGGTTGACGATGGCATAAATGATATGTCCTCCACCAGGATCTTATCAGAGTTTGTCGATCCCACTTGCGGGGATTTGTTTTCTCAATTTTCCATGACAAGTTCCGAAGTTCTACCGAGTGCGCTGCGGCACCAGGTCACCTAATGCTCGGATATTGTAACTAGCAAACGTTACATAAGTGCGTCTCCACCTGCCTCATGAGAATATCTCTTTAATTTATGAAGCATAATCTGGATATATAAAGTACATTCGGGAGATTATTTCATGACTTCTCCCTGATATCATCGCTGTTTAATGTGCGGATCTAGAACAAATGAGTATTGATCTCGACTCCCGACTAATGCCCCTTGGCTGGATACTGAGACCTTCCGTTGAAGCATAGTGTGTTTTCAAAAAATATATCACTTGCCCACGTCACCCAGTATACCTTAGTAAATTCACTTTGTATAGCGTTAATTGGTTCCCGTTGTATTTGATCGTTGATAAAACTTAAACGCAAAGCATGGCTGTATGATACTCGGCAAGTAACAGTCAGGGCAGAAATGGCTGTAAGGCGATAGGCTCTGAAAATTCACAGACCAAGCTATGTCGATAATTTTCACTTACGAGTACATATAGGATTAGAATCATTGACTTGATGCAGTCAGCATGTCGATTATACTATGTATACGCCATGGTTCGAGGTGTTTCCCAGGAGAACCGCTATTTAACGTGGATTTGCTGAGATCACATCAGCATCAATGCCAAAAAAGCGCTACTCTAATTAGCTGCTTCATATTATAAGCTCACCGATTAAATGCTGCAATGATCCGGAAACAAAGATAGATAAGCCATGCTGCGAATCGAGCAATGAGAAAACAATTGCGCACCTATCATTTCCCAAGTAGTGTATGATACGTGACAGCTTGTCCTATCTCTACAATCAAAGAAGCAGCAAAATAATCACGGTGATAAGGTCAAGGGAAAGGCATGCGGTAAGCAAAGAATCGCCCGCCAGATCGTACGAAAGTGTATAGATTCAGATTTCCGTTCGAGCGTACATAGTGTTGTTGGTTTTCATGAATCCGGTTACGTAAATCTATACTGAAACAGGGGAATAATAATAATAATAATAATAATAATAATAATAATAATAATAATAATAATATTCCTCAGGCTGTGCACGACCTTAGGTCGTATGTAGCCCCCTAGCTAGTGTGCGCTGCTCCGTGGGATATGTACTTTTGGTAGCTTGACGACATGCGTAACTTCTGGTTTAGATCTTCCTCCTCACCCTTCAGGAGCCAGCCAGCCCGTCTCCATTGCAAAAGCGATAACGGCTCTGACAATCTTGACGTCGGGTTTCCATGCTCGACCACTCGGTTCACTCGCATCCCCTACAGTCGCAGGTTTACCTCCTAGCATCTGCGACAGATTGCCGAGGCTCGGACCTGCGGCTTCAATCAGTGCGCACCGTTGTTCATTCCACCGTGTACAACGCAGCAAGAAATGCGGGACTGTTTCGCGCTCGACGTCACAGTCGCACAAATCACTATCAGTCTTGCCGATTCGATGAAGATATCCGTTCAGTCTGGCATGTCCCGTGCGGAGTTGAGCTAGTATCGATGCTTTCTCCCGATTCAGGCTATCATACAGCATCTTCGTGTGGGGTCCTGGGAGAGCAGAGTCCAGCTGGCGTGTATACTGACCGGTGGTCCACAGCTGGAAGTTTTCCTTCCGGTGCTGTTTATCATTCGCCCGAGCCCATCGCAACGCCGACGCCCGGAGCTGGACTCGCGCCCAAGGCGGGGGACTGACGTCGCTGTTCACTTCGGTCGCTTTGCGTGCTAGGGTATGTGCTCGTGTAGTATTCTCACAGTCTTCAGCAATTGGTGGCTTCAGGCTGACCTTAGCCCCCATCTCCGCCAGCCGATAAATTGCTTCCGTGATCTGAGTGATAAGAGCCTGTCCGCCCTGGAGATGTGGCTTTGCGAGCGACAGCAGGACGGCAGGGTTGTTCACAACGAGCGTAACCTGTACTTTCCACGGTGACATCTAAATTCGAGGGAGCATCGTCTCGACAAACGATACAGCTTCTAACGCTACCCCCAGCTGTGCGTAGTGAGCATTGAGCGCGTCGTCATTGCCAACCGTCCGGTTTGATGCGACGATGTCGACTTGATTAACACGAACAACCAGCCCGGTTCCGACCAGACCATTGCGGACGCTGACACTGGTGAACAACCAGAGACGAGCATGGCCGGCCTCGTGCAACTCTTGCATATCGGATCCGACGGTGGCAATCAACTCCCCAAGAGACCGTTGCCACGGATCTAGAGGGAAGGGTCGAATGACCTCCATGTCAGACAAGCATTGTGGTCCGTACTTCGCCAGTATTTTGAACGGCGACGGGTAACTCCCATCCTGCATGGCAGCCGCCGCTCGACAGGACCAGAAGGGGTAATCCTTTGGTAAGGTGTGGCAGACGATCCAATGCTTCAAGATGCGTGCTCGAAGGCGTACAACAGTCGGTTCGATCCCCGCCTCGGCCTCGGCGATGACGAGGGCTGTGTTTCGGAACACGCCCACGATCGCCTGAGACACGACTCGCTGGATGGCTTCGAACGGCCGTCCGATGCCCGCCGCAACAATAGAATCCTGTCGGATAGAGCACCACACAGTTGCTGCATAATCAATCTTCGATGCGACCGTGGAGGTGAATAGCTGGCGAGCTACCGAAGGAGGTAACCCGTGCAGTCGTCTTAGTGCAAGGACGGCTTCCATTCCTTTCTTCGCAGCCTTTCCGATGTGTGATTTGAACCGTAACGCCTGGTCGATGATCACGCCAAGTAGCTTGACTTCAGGCGCCGGGGCGACTGTCGCTCCTTCACGTGTAGCGGGACCGCGGGCAGTTGGCGCAGCCGCTGGTTCCTCGTGAAGTGGATGAACGATGTCTTCTCGGCCTCAAAAGCCGCACCAGACTGCGCCGCCCATTCTAACGCTCGTGGGATGACCTTCCGCTACAGCACGGTTGTATTCGCCTCAGCAGACGAGCCCACCGTCCATCGTGTATAGTCGTCGACGAAAGCGATTGCTCCCTTCCTTCTAGTGATGGCGACGTCCACCAGATTTGCATTCAGGAACAGGAAGAGGATCGGAGAGAGCGGAGAGCCTTGGGGCAGGCCCGCGTGCTCAATGGCCATTTCCTCGGACTGGTACGCATTCACGACGATCGACGCCCGTCGCGAGGAGCAGAAACTGTCGACCCATCGGACTAGGACCTCCGGGATTCTTCGTTCTCGCAACCTGCGCAAGAGGACACTCCGATCTACGCCGTTATAGGCACCCTTGGCATCGAAGCTCACCAGACTGAGGACTTTGCGGTCACGCCATGCATCGTGGATCTTTTCTATGAGAATGTTGAGCGCTTGCTCGCATGATCGCCTCCGACGAATTTGGGGGGAGTAGCTGGTGTTTTTCGACTAGGGCGGAGATTCTGTTGGCGACGACGGCTTCTAGTACCTTTCCAAGAGTCACCAGCAGCGAGATTGGGCGGTAAGATTTCGGCAACGATGGGTCGCGTCCACCTTTGGGTATTACTACGATCTTGGCAACCTTCCACGCGCTAGGAAAGTAGCTGAAACGGAGTGACGCTTGAAAGATTTCGATGACCCAGTGTTTTACGACAGGCCATGTTTGTTGCCACACCACCACCGGCAGTGCGTCTGGTCCAGGGGCTTTCCACGAGGCCATCCCCTTCAGGGCCGCCTCGATCTCGTTCGGGGTGATCATTTCCATCGGAAGGGCATCTGGCTGCGGTCGGTCTCTCGGCGGCTCATCCTGGATATCTGGCAATGGGGGAAAGAAGGTCTCGAGGAGTGCATGAGCCTTTCCCTGGTCATCACTGATCGTCTGCTCACCCGAGCGCAGGGTGGGGACTATCCCCATGGAGTGGTCTCCTGGCTGGAGGTATCGTGCCGCTTTCCAAATGTTGTCGGTATTGCTGAGGAACTCTCGCCAATGCCGACGCTTGGCGTCACGGATTGCTCGGTGGTACTGTCTCCGTAGGTATAATGCCGTGTCTTCCAGTGCAGCAACGTCGACTCCATACCGCCGAGCTTGCGTGCACCGATTTCGAGCCCATGTGTACGAGTCTCGCAGGGCCGTCAGCTCCGGAGTCCACCATCGTTTGCCGTATGGGGATGGCCGCGCAACCGGGACTAGTTGGCGAATTGCTGTGCTAATCCTGTCAGTCAAGCGGCCTGCAGTCGCGTCCAGTTCCGAGCTGTCTGTGATATCTATGATCTCCGTCTCTAGGTCTCTTAACTCCCTATTGATGTCGGCCCATGGAGCTTCGCGGAATGAGAAACAGGTTATCGGGGGAAGCGTTGGTCGCGTTTCGCAATGGAAGGTCGTTTCAATTGCCCGGTGGTCTGACCCATGCTCAACGGGGTGGATGCGACACCGTGTGACCCGCCTGCTCAGATCTGGCGACGCGAGGACAAGATCGATGGTCGACCGATGTGGGCCTTCCTCCCGGGTGAAGATCCCTCGGGGCAATAAACTTGTTAGGCCCCAGTCTGCCATGAGGAGCACAATTGGTTCCGCTTCGCCCTGACGGTTCCGCGTTGCCACTTGATTTCCTCCCCAGAGCTGATCGTGGCGGTTAAAGTCCCCGACAATAAGGATGTCAATGTTGTCGCCGTGCTCGCACCGGACCCGTCGATGGGCATCCCGGATTGCATCCAGCCCTTGAGTCAGTGTCTCAGCTCCTTCGCACCCTCTTCCTGGCGGAATAAATACGGAGACCGTTAGAGTTGGCGTGGGCGTAAATAGCAGTACGGCGACGATGTCGGCTGACGCAATGTCGATCTGCCTGTACGGGAAAGACTTTTTGTTCACCCAGATCATGCTCCGGTGCGGCCTCAGCCCACCGACGAGCGGATGCCGCTGTGAGGGCCAGAGTGGTGTCCAATTAGCTTGCGTATGGGAGCATACTGTGTCGTTCATCAGGAAAACGTATGGTTCCGAGATCATGAGCAAATCGCAGGATTGCAACGATCGGTCGTTCAAGAGGCTCAGTTGGGTTTCCGCGCCTTTCCTCAGGTTGGCTTGCAGCACACACAGGGCCCTACTGACTACCATAGGGCAAAGGATCTGTGCGTCTGGCTATCATCTCCTGCTCGCGCCGACGGATCACTTTCTACGCTTCGTCCCATTTCGGGCAGTTGCGGTCAGTGACGGCGTGGTTTCCTTGGCAGGACGCGCACTTAAGAGTATCAGATGTGCACTGCTCAACGCGATGGTTGCCTGCACACTTGCCGCAGGCTTCGGAGTTTGGGCACCGGTCTTCTTTGTGATTGTATTGTTGACATTTGCGGCAACGCAGTGGTCGCTGTCGTTCATAAAATCGGTCCGAAAAAGCCGCTTCCCCCCGCACGTGGACGATCCGACGGCGGAGCAGGGCCTCTGCATCTGTTTGATTGGTAAGGAAGACCGCCATGGATCCATAGCGTTTCTTTCCACTCAGCCAAATGATCTTTTTGACCTGCGCGACTTTGTTCTCGTCCTGGAAGGTGTTCATGAAGTCCTCTCGTTGCATTCCCGATGCTCCAAAGATACTGTCTTTTTTGACGTCGTTCAATTTGACCGGAAACCATTGTTCCCCTTGCAGCTTAGATCCAGGCAGGGCGTTCAGCCACTGCGTAGCCTGCCAGAGGTTCGCTACGCTTTCCTCTGAGTCGACAAAGATTTTGATTGTGGATCGGGAGGTCGACTTGACCCCCACGACATCAATACTCGCAGTCGTAGTCTCGCCTTGAAGTGCTGTACGGATTTTCTCTCGTATCCGCGTGGGGTCATCTACTAGTGCTTTGGTCTCGTCTTCAGCAGCGCGTAGGTCCAGTATCACAGCAGGAAGGCCCAGTCCGGCACGCGCTGCCCGGGTCTCAGACGACGCTAACGATGATTGTGAAACGATAGACGCCCAGCTTCTTCCTGGGCTGCTGACCTGGGTGCCAGGTGACGTGGTGGGCGCCCCCAGCGACAACGACTGGATCAGTTCTTTCAGACTGACGATCTCTTTTTGGAGCTCATTGACCTCTTTCCACGATGTTTCCAGCTCCTGGCGATACAGCGCTGACTCCGCAGTAATAGCTTCAACATTTTTTGCGTAAACTTCGGACATGCGATCGAATCGAATCATAAGCTCGTTGTTTGCACGTAGGAGTAATTGGAACTCGGACTGTGGCTGCTCCGACCCCTGCTGTGTCTCAATGGTTCGCACGGTCCGTTCGCCATCATCTTCGTCCTGAACTGTTGTGGCCACTGATATCTGGCGAACCAAGCCAGACTTTGTGGTGGTTGGGTAGAACGCGGTATCCGAGGCGGACGGGGTGGACGCGTTGTTTGACGCGTTCCCTTGCCGCTCGTCGCGCCTAGCAGGCATTTTGCCCGTCGGGCGGGGAGCAAGATTGAGTAGTTAGTTAGTGAAATAGGAAAGCTTACCTCTTTACTGGAGTTCGTTCACACATGGTCCGGAACAAAAGTCCTCGTGTAGTCCAACAGGCAAAATGTTGCAGGTGACCACAACACCACAACCCTCAGGTGGAAAATATTATAATATGATCAGAAAGCTGTCATCTACTTCATTCTAAACCCGTTGTTGTCTTTTCATAATAGTCAAAACTGGTGGCAGGAAAGACAAAATGCTCCCAGCCAATAGAAACTCGAACGAAAAACTCGGACGAAGGTCACGTGGCATTTAAATCAAGACGCCAGCTAAGACCGCCACAACCCTTATGGTATATTTATATTAAAGCCATTCGAATGGGTATGCTCAGTTAATCTCACTTTTCTTTTCTCTTTCAATTGCACTCGAAATCGGTGGCAAGGGGTGCGGTTATGCCCCCAGCCAATAGAAACTCGGACGAAATCACGTGCCATTCTGCGGCCAAGTAGATCAAGTATACAGCCATCCCAGTGAATAACACGGACTGAACTAGCAACCCGTCATAGCAGGAAAAAGCCAAAGAAGCCAGAAAGTCGGGGGATTTTTATTCTCTTGCCCAAGGTGAGGAAGCAACAGATATGGGGATTGATACAACAACGCAAAGAAATTTCTTAAGTATTTTTCGCGTGCAACGGAAGTTTTCTTCCTTTCTGCTGTAAACAGAACCCCGCGATGGCTCTATGATTATCAAAAACTAAGAGGAACAAGCAAGGCTATTAAAAGATTAGTGTTTGCGGCGGGCTGGGGGGAATGCATAATGGCCGTGCTGTCGAAATATCGAGTAAAAGCAGAGCATTATGCGAAATATATATTTTTGACATGGAAAGCGAATTGCTTATCGCTTATCATTGATAAGGCGGGTGAATACTCCATTCAATAAGGACTGCCTTGAAACCTCGATGTCTACAAGTCATAAATCTTAAGAAGGACCGAAAGAAATCTTTATTTGCCCCCCTCTTCACACACAAGCACTGTAAGCCCAAGATGGGCCGAAGAGGACCGGCGGCAATATACGCCACGAGGGCCGAGAAGAATGCCGCCTAGACCTCGACATAGACTGCGGCATATCCTCTCCATTGGATATTAGGCTCAATACCATATCCGCGAGGATATGAGGATATTTTGCGGATATCCGCACTAGCATAACTAGACTTTCGCAGAGCCCATAAATGGGCCTAACCTTCGGGCCCAACCAAGCCCACGGCCCATCAGTGGGGGCCTATAAGGCCCCCAAGAAAGCCCATTTCTATGCATAACTATAGTCTTGGCGCTCATAAACCTGATGATTAATGCCTGTTTTATACGCATGTTCCAGTCTGTAAGCCCATACCTCGGGCCGACGTTTTACCAGGCCTAATTCGGGGGTTCAACTCCTAATCCGGGGGTTCAACTCCACCAAGAATCAAGATATCAAGATTCAACAGCGATGACCCGGTAATCAAGATTATGGATAAAACCAGCTACACTAGGCACTGCAATTTACAAGATTATGCAAAAAAGTTTTATTTCGCCAAGATTTCATAGTATTCTGGCACTTGGAGAATTACCAAGTGTCTGCATGCAGAGATATATATCTCATGTGCGCAGTAGTAGGTGCATCTTTCTGTTGCAGTATGACATTTTTGATAGTCAACTTCATGATTTATAGGATTACAGCATTCAACTTTATATCGAAAGTTAAGTAACCTCTTACGCTCGACGCCTGTTTTTACGGAAACGTGGTATTTCAGCTATTGTAGAGGTGAGAGATATTCAAAGATATCTCATGAGCCATGGGTGAAATTTTTGGGCGAACAAATTGAAAAATGGGCGGGGAGATGGGTCATCCAGGGGCTTTCTTGGGCTTTGGATGGGCCGAGTCCACTGGATATGCATGATCTAGCCAATGAGATGCTAGGATTAAGATCCTCCGTTTCAATGTCGACTGACCACTGTGATCTCTGTTTACATCCACTGTTTACAGCCACTGTTTGCTACCGTCCACGTCGGTAGTTCTCTCGTTGAGAAGGTAAGTCATGTCGAATTTCTCCTCCCTCACCCTGATACGCCTGAAGCTTTTACCCAAAGCCCTCCATCCAATCTGAAGCTATTGACCCATCATGTCGCAAAGCCAGCAAACCGAGTGTGGATCTCAGTTGAGTTTCTGCGACATTGAGCCTAGACATTGACATGGGCGGCCCATGGATATAAGGGGACTGAAAATCTGCCCATGGATGGTAATATATACGTATATTACATATATTAATCGACATTTCCAATAAATTTCATGGTAATTACATAAAAATCCAAAAATCTTGCCCATGGGCAGGAAAAAAGTGTCCATGGGCATGCCCATGTCAATGTCTAATTGAGCCCGACGACCTATCGTTGATTACCCATTCCAATTACCCAGCTACGCCGTCTACCTCTCGGCAGGTTGATAGCTTCTCGTTCGTTCAGCCGTTTGTTCCTTCGTCTATCGCTCCGGATCCTCTCGAGCGCTTCCAACGTGTCGGTCCTGGCAGGAGAGGCCAATTCTTTGTTTACAACGTGATGAACCACACTGATTGGGTCAACTGGTGGTTGGAGACTGACTATGGATCCAACAATAGCAAGATCGCTTGGGAATCACAACATGGATCGGCTTCAGAGACCTGGAAACAGTTTGAGCAAGTGGCTCATATGGGTAATGGAAGCCCAAAGGTTATGTGTAAGCGTTGCGATACAATTCTTGAGCACCCTTACGCTACTAAGAAGGATGCCAATGGCAAGATTGGTCGTCATGGCACGACGACAATCACCCGTCATCTTCAGACGTGAGCCTGCCAAAAGGCTACAGGAGTACGGCAACAGAGAGGGGGGATTGAGAGGGTTTCTTCAATCGGTATGTAAAGGCCTATTATTCTTTGAAATTGCCACTAATCAGTTATTTCTGTCGAAGCAGGGTCATCCGTTTACACAAGAGGCCTGGGAGGACAAACTCTTACAGTTTATCACCATCAACCGGCTTCCGTTCAATCTCGTTGAACATCCAACCTTCCGTGACTTAGTCTCGCTCTCGCAGTCCGCTCCAAACCTTCCAATCATGCAATCGGCTGATACAATTCGACGTCGGCTATCTGTTCGTGTCAAAGAACGACAACAGGATACACTCGGCTTACTACCAAAGCATGCGAAGATCTCGGTTGCGCTGGACTGTTGGACATCTCCGTTTGGGCAGGCATTTACGCCTATCACTGGCTACTTTATTGACGTTGACTGGGTCTACCGTGAGGTGCCACTCGGCTTTAAACCCCTTTACGGCACGCATTCGGGTGCGAATCTGAGTGCTGTTCTTCTAGAGACGCTCACTCAGCATAAAATTAAGGACCGAGTCTTTGGGTTGACCACTGATAACGCGTCAAATAATAAGACTCTGGTTGATACCCTTCAGCAGTCTTTATCTGGCGATGTTCATGTCATCCGAATCCCCTGCCTTGCTCATGTCATCCAATTAAGTTTGAACCAACTGCTCGATCGCTTAAAAGCGGTCCCACTGAATGATGCCGCTGAGACCACATGGACAGACCGCCAAGACACCCTCGCAAGGGCGAACGCAAATGTACAATGCAGGGAGATATCGCATACCTTGAATAAGGTGCGGTATCTTGCTCTTTATATCCGCGGTAGTCCTCAGCGTCGGGACTCATTCGCTGCTGTCCAATCTAGGGCCCCAGGGCAGGCGCTCATGCCGATTCAGGATGTCAGAACTCGATGGAATTCAACGTTTTTAATGCTACGCCGAGCAAAGAGACTCCGCGTGTTTATCATGAAGTACTGTGATCAGTTTAACTGTAAAGACTTCGTACTTGATGACGATCAATGGCGCCAGATCGACTACCTTCTTTGTCTCACAAAGCCATTCTTTGATTATACCCTTGCCCTTTCAAAGACTCGAGACGTGACATCGCATCTTTTCTTCCAGATCTATAACTTATTCTTTGAGCACATTGAAAGATCAAAGATACAGTTACAACGGATGTCGTCTGGAAGAAACAGATGCTTATCTCTCTCGAAGCTAGCCATGCAAAATTACGTGACTACTACAAAGAGACAGACAACATGCAAGGGCACATATATGCGGTCTGTACGATGCTATCGCCAGATAATAGGTTCCAGTTCTTTCTTTCTGATGACTGGGCGGATGCTAAAGAGCTGCGTGATCAGTATCGAGTGGCTTTCCGGGATGCCCTCACTCCTATCCAGGAACGTCTTACCAGTGCTAGTGCCCAAGGCCCGCAAGGGCCTTCCCCTGGATCGACAACAAGATCATTCCTTCATAACCTTGTTCGAACCCAGAAGGCTTACTCCAAAGTGACGCCAGGCCCAGTTATGGATGAGCTGACGCAGTATCTCGACGGTAGTAAGTTTATCTCTATGTTCATCTCCATGTTCATAATACTAATCTTATACAGATGTGACTGATTCGGAGCCGCTATCTTTTTGGAGAGAGAATCAATTCCGTTTCCCGGCGACGGGCGCTGGGGTAGAACGCCTATTCAACACTGCACGCGATATCTGCCACTATCGCCGCGGTCGTATGGAGTCTAAGACCATTGAAGAGCTGATGCTATTCCTCTGCACATCGAGGTTTGACCTTGATGTGCAGGAAGCTAAGGAGATAGCACAAGATCTCCCATCTGATGAGATTGACGCAATGAGGGAACAAACTGATGAGATACCAGATGATGTCGACGTTGAAGAGATCAGTGATACTGAAGAGCAGGGTGATAGACCTGAATCTGTATCTGAGGATCTGATAGATGTTGACGATGAGGTTGAAGATAACGATGCTATTATCAGATTCACTACTGCACCGTCTCAGGTGCGGACATCGGGGAGAAAAAGGAAGCATGTTGATGATGAACTGTATGAACATTATTAGATTGGCATGTAGATAGTTTAATCTCATTTGGTATCTAATCAATTGATCTCATCAATCTCATTAAACAGTGACTTCATCAATTCTTATGGGAATCAGCCAATTAGGGGCCTTAGGCGGTAATTTGAATACTCAAAAATACTAGGAAATTCTACATTACTTATGCAAATGGCAAGAATTGGCATGTTTGCGCTGTTTGGGGCCCATTGGGCCCCCATGAAAGCCCAGTGGGCTTCTGCCTTAGGCCCATGGCCCATCGGCGGGCTCGAGGGCTAGGCCCAAAACCCAACCCATTTAAGGGTTGGGCCCAGGTTGGGCTTTGGGTTTTTGGGCCGGTGCGAAAGTCTAATCGACGCGCTCGGTGACGCCGTCGCAGACGAGTGATGGACTGAACTTGTTAAGGCTGAGTTATCCGTCAGCCCGATTGCCTTCTCGGAAAAAGGAAAGTGGTGTTACCTGATGTCGACCAGATGGTCGACTTCCTCATCGCTCAGAAATTCTCAATGTACATGGTGAATGGTGTTCGCGGCAAGAGGTGCACCTTATACCTAGGTGCCTCGCCGGGGAAGTAGGTGGGCACACCATCCTCCGGGCTGATGAAGCTATCATCTTCGAGATTCGATGCTGGCTTTATTTTCTCTCAGTCCTTCAGAAAAGCCTCGCTTTCCTAAATCGTCACGTCGGAGGGTTCGGCTGTGTTGGGGAAGATAGGGCGCAGGAGTGGAAGCAAATGAGAAATGAATAAATAAACCATGTCTAGTCCTCTGCACCAGCCAGTTGTTACTTTTTTGCTTCTTTCATAAAGTGCACATCGTCTAGAGAGCAACAACCATACGCCGGTATTCATCCACTGCGTCCATTCATCATTAGGCGCCTACGATCCAGGTCTTCATGTCGTGTCATTCCCGAACAGATCGCCAAAGGAGATGCCCAGGTCCATATTCATTGCTATGGTTTTGTCATCAAACGTGATGTTGAGATTTCGGAGACCGTTCGGAAGCGGCTGGTCTTGTTGCATCGTCGTCTCAGCTCTAACATTAGAAGTGGAGTGGAAGTTGCATGCTTCCCACACAAAGTTCTGGTTCGGGATTGAGACCAGGTCCGGGCTGCTCAGAGTTTCACCCGGATTGTGGCTCCGCGGGATCAGCGATTGGAGCCGCGACGAACTCCTTAAGTGATTGATTGCCATTCCGGTTGGTTGTCGCGGTTTTGAGTCGAACGGGAACTGCACGCTCGTGTGATCGTGACGGAAATGATCATCCTCCAAGGTGGACATAGGCTGTGTGGGATACGCGAAAGGATCGTCAGATGAGAACATGATAGGCATGAGATCTGGAAAGTTGTTCCGGTTGTTAATATGCTGGGACCAGGCCAGACTTGATGGCTCCTGGTTGGCAAACGGATGATTCATAGATGTCGCAGACATCGGTTCGGGTATTTGCATACTCTCTGTGAGCAGCTCCGGAGTTGACGCCATCCAGGCGGACTGGCTGCCATTATCTGAGGGCTGGTTGTTACTCATAGTCCTAAGATTCGACTCTGATGTGCTCCATTGAGACATCATCTCGGTCGGGAATGTGCTTGAGCGGAGGGTCAAGGTCTGTTCAGGTAGAGCGCTGACAGGTTCCGGCTCGGCAAAAATGTTAGATGGAGCGGATCGCTTCAGATCGACCTGTGATTTAGAGCTCTGACGTCTCTTCAACATCTCCGGCAAAGGCTTTAACAAGCACTGTAAAGCACAATTAGCTCGAGACTTTTTTCGACAAGGAAGGGGTACACCTACGATCAAACTCTGGGAGCACAGGTCGGCCGCTATATTCTTCTTAGCCAGTCCAGCCAAGGTGTTTTTGCCTTCCATGGCATCCTTCAATACACCATCTTTCGCAGTAGGTGAATCGGGGTTCTCAACCACGAAGAAAATCAGCGAGAGAATCGCGAAATAAGTCGTATGCATCGTGAACCAGGAGGATTTATTGAGAAGGCCCCTCTTGTGCATCCCGGTCGTAATATAAACAATGTTTCGGGACACGCTCACGCAAGCTGCGGCGCAGGCGTAAGAGCGCTTGTCTACACCACGCGCTTGTGACCCGCTAGAAACGTAGTGTAGGAATGGACGGTACATGATCATCTGGACGTGGGCGTAGCTGATACGCAGCAATTGCCGGATTCTAAGAAAAACATTAGCCCTGATTCCTTACGCCTGGGTATCCCTCTTGTCATGGGTTACCGTTCCAGCTGTGGCGAGACTTCCGTGCCAGGGCACAGGGCCGGTGGAAGTTCTTCCATCCAGGTTTGAAGATCGCGCTCAATTTCACGAATCTTGGAGTGGCTGACCATGTATCGCTGGTCGGATTTCGAGCGAGATCGCACATTTTTCACCGGGTAAATGTACTTGACAACTTTCAAGATGACGTTGCAAAGGCGCGAGTGCGCATTACACCCTGCCAGCAGAGGGGTATAGTCGGAAGGCATCTGCATGATTCCCTCCGCAGTAATGAATTCTGCATCAATCTCCATCGGGTATTCCTGATCGATATCATCCTCACTCAACATTTGAGGGAGACCCAAGAGCGTGCTAACGTAGACGTCCATTTTGCGAATCACCCAGAAGATGCGCTTTCGCAGTTCTCGCTCGATTGGATTGAAGTCTGCCGTCACCGTGCGGTGAAGTCCCAAGCGTAGGGCGGAGCGGAGGCAAATACCCACGTAGGAGTAGCAGGTGCTCAGCTTGGCCGAAGATTGTAGGAAGAGAACCATGAAGCATATTGCTTGCAAAGAGGTCAGATCTCTACAATCAGTGACTTCGAGCAGCTGCCGCCCTGTCTTGAAAAACTGGAATCTATGGTTAACAGTCAGCATACTAGTTCTGCACACTCAAGTTCGCGGTGACAACATACCCCTGACCAATAGCACCTTTATAGCCAGGCAGGTCCATGGTGCCGACCCCGTCATCTGAGAACAAACAGCCGACTGCTATGACAATATACAGAAGCGGCAGGAATGAAGTCTCCTCATTTGTAAACTGGTCGGCCGGAGTATCGTAGATGCGCTCGAGACTAGCGAAAAACGAAGGTTCATGCACGAAGCGCATCAAAAAGCACGCGTCGTCTAGCGCATTGTGACACAGGCGGCGCGCAACCATTCGAGGAGGCAGGTCGTGGGTGGGAAAAAGTGATCCATCTTGGGGCGAATCCAAGACGGACTTGTGGCTCTCGAGCATCTGTGTTATGCCGAGCGCCGGTCTGGTGATCGGCACATCGGCGGCGCCCAGTTGTTTGCGCAGGCGGCGTACGAGGATAATCCCCGATGTGTGGCCATGGTAGTCCCAATGGCCCCGGTCGTCGCGATCCAAACAACCCGAGTTATCGACCATAGTCTCTAGTAATACTTCTTCTCCGCCCTCCGGGCTTGTCTCTGTTGGGCCGGAGGGGTTGGGCGCTGCTCCAAGTCCCACTACAGGTCCTTGGAGGGGCCCCTGGAAAGGGGTCTGCTTCTTTCTTTGGGCTGGGAGTCGTTGCTCGGCCACGTGCACGTCCAGTTGCGGATCATCAAGGTTGATGTCGGGGAGGAAGGTTCGGAGAATGGCCTCTGCCTTGTGCATACGGGCTTCGAGGGCTTCTACATACTGCGGGGCGGCGTTGCGACGGCGGTTGGAAGGTTGATTGTACGTACACTCTACAGGAAAATGTCAGACACGCGCGGAGATTCACAGAGCAAGGCGCACCATAGCTGTACACTGTGCAGTGTGTGCAGGGCTGTTTCCCGTCACACTTGATCTTCTTTCTACGGCATTCATCGCATGCGCGGCTAACTCGTCGCCTCTTCTGCATCGGCAGGGACTGGCCAAGCTTGGGGTCGGCGGAGCCATCCTGGCCCGAGTGGGAGGCGTCATCATCGTTATGGTAATCCACGGCGGGATCATCCTCAGTCTCTCCTGAAACAGGATCCACGGTCGCCATGGTAACAGAGTCGGTCATGTAAGAGGAGAAAGACTTGGCAAGCGATCAGATACGAGGGGCCATGGATCGCCCCGGCGTGGTCGTGAAGATAGTGATTAGTTCAGAGTTATGGAGTGACAAATGGAAAGATTGAGTAAGACGGATAATCGAATAAAGTTCCTGGGCCGTTTCAATTTGCGATGATGAAATGATTGTGTCCGAAAGCGGTGGGAGGACGAGATTCTTCTCCGGTAGCTCTCCAAGTTAGAGCGGAGTACTAGAGCTTGTAGAAAATACAAAGACAAGTTCGCCATTCAAGTTCCGTGCTCTACGTAAGTCCCCAGTCCAAAAGGCGAAAAATGGATTGAAGTCGGAGGTTCAGTGTGCACGAGCCCGACGCTCTATGCATGGGGTCTCCAGGATTCTCCTATCTCCCTTTGGTGGTCCGATGGTAGAATTTTCCCACCTTTCGGTCTCCACTATCACTGGTTGTCGACTCGGCTGGAGTCCGGCCTCCATTGGGTGGGATGAGTCTGTACGATGCCGAGGCGAACAGATCGCTGATCGATGAGTCGATCTGTTGAGTGAGAGTCGGAGATTGGACCCAATGCTCCAATTTATGATGTCAGGGTACTATGTCAAGATTGACATGAGAAGCTTGTGATCGGCGAAATACTTCAGAACACCGAACACCTTCTCAGGTACGGCAGAGCTGCCGGCGACCATGTGGGGCATATTCCGGGGATTGGGTACCCGTCGGTTCCAACCCGCCTACCCATGCGTTACGCAATCATGTTCCTTGTACGGAGTAGTTACGAATCCATTCAGCTAACGTTCATTGGGCCGATACCAATCAGCGCTGCTCCCTTAGTCAAGGCAGCACCCAATTCTGTATGATGACAATGCACAGGGCGTTTCCTGTGGCTGGCCTAGCTTGCCGTAGCATAAGGCTTAGCATTCAATTGGCTAATCACGGACTAGGACGCGCAATCGTTGGTGACTGAACATGGCGATGACGTCTGAACCCAAAGCCAGATCTTTTCCTGTTTCTTGCTTTTTACAATA